TGTCTTCCGTTTACAGTCGCATAAATTCAGTTGGTATATTTTTTTTATTCATTTTGTTATAATTACCGAAAAATGTGATCAGTTACCGCCGAGAAAGTGATTTTTTTCATTCATCGTTTCGAGAAGAATGGGTTATACTTATAAAGTAGAATTGTTTAGCCAAAATGAGTGGTTTTTGGAGCAAAACCGTCTCTTTTATTTCTACGTCGAAGAAAAAATTGTTGTCTGGAATAAAAAAAAGTCATAAATCTTTGGCAAAAGATTTTATTTCGGAGTAAAAGCAATTTGATTTCGGTGTTCAAATGTGAATTTGTCGGAATGTGTTTGTCACACATTTATAATAATTTGTGAAACAATGCCTTTCTTTACGTTGAAGAGAGCACGAAGTGAATTTCGACCGAGCATGGAACGTAAGGGCTGACTGCCAGCACATCATTTTTGTTTGCTTGCCCACTCGTGAGTTCATGCTCGCTTGTGTGCGAATAGCATGTTTCAATTATGCAATCGCATTCGTTTTTAAATTGAATCTTCTAATTGTAATTGTTTCGGTTGCTGTTTTACTCTCTCATTGTTGTGTGCGCAACGCTGACCAGCATCATCACGGAAATTAAACGAATGTCGACATAGGAATCGTTGCATTGTGTCCAATGGATATAGAAAAGTGAATCTATTATCGAGAAAATACCAAGAAACACACCAAAAAAAAACTTATTTAAAACAGAGAACTCGAACACATTCTCTTGTCGTTGGGAAACGTAGGCACTTCGAAGGAATGAATTACATAACACAACAAACGCATAACAGTATCGTGTCGCATTCGGTAGCCATGAGCTATGGATTGAAGCTGGAGAACGAAAGAAAAACAACAACAAAAAATAGAAGAAAAACAATTGGCAGAGAGACGAAAAGAGAGATAAATAATGATTGTGTTTGAGGGCTTCGCTTTATGCGCACTCACACACACGGAAATGTGCTAGAGATGCGTTTTGCTCTCATATTTTTTTGTCTGTAACTATTTTGCTCAAGATACCCGATGTATCTTCAGCCGCCTTCTTTTTTATCGCTGTCTCTCTCATTCGGTCATTGTTTTGGGTATTTCTCAATGATGCCACCGTTCTATGCCTGTGTATTTGTGTCTTATTATAAACTTTTATTTCCGTTCTGCTTATTCTCTTTGTCTTTCTCTGTGTGTATTTTTTTCTGTTTGGTTTTTCTTTCGTTTGCTTATTACAGAGTGAGCGAGCTAGCTGGCGCGCCTACAAAATGCGTATTGTTGCTGCTACCGCTTCTAAGTACAATTTCTGAATGAAGCGTTCAATGGGTGAACTATTGTCGAATTGGAATACATTTACCGTCCGATGTGTTGCTTCTCGTCCGTGATTTTTCCATTTCAAACCGGTCATAGTATCTTTCTTTTTTCTTGAGCGTTTTTTTTTTCTTTCGAGCTTATTTTGCACTTTTTGAAAATAGACATACGCGTCAGGCCATAAAAGGTCATCCTCGAAAACAACTGTTGTCTCATTATGGATCATACTGGGCAATGTTTTTCGTCGAATGACGTGATGAATTAGACTTTGGCTTTTTTCAAGACGTGAAAGAGAAATAGCGAGTAGAGAGGAAAGAAAACACACACACACAATTTTGTGGCCAGAAAATTATATATGGCGCTTGTGTGAATGATGAAATCGCATTTACGATTTTGCGGTCATTTACACTGCCACTGAAAGAATATGCCATTTCAACGAAAAACACGCGCGCGCGCGCACACAAATACTGCACAGTGTTCAATCGGTTTTTTACAATTTCAAGCTAGTGTATGAATGCGTGTGTGTTGAACACAAAAAAAATGTTTAATTGTTTGGCTCGAGTTTTTTTTTTCGAGAAACAAAAAAAAAAGAAATTAAATTCTTTCGCTCGCGTGTTTCTTTCTCTGCCTCGCAAATTGTAATAATAATAATGAAGCCAACAAAAGAGTCACCTTTATTTACATGTAAGCTGATTGTTGTCAATTTTGCCTCTGCGTGTGATTATAAATACAAAATTTCACTGTCTTCATCAACGCCGTCGTCGTGCTTCGTCGCCACAGACATAAAGGCGAACAAATTGCATTTTTATTCAAAATGAAAAAAAAATAATCATAATAACAAATGAGAACAATGAGCAACGAGATGAAGAATAGGCGCTTGCACAACCATATTTCAATTGGAATTTGTGTGTTTGCGGTGTGGTGTATATGTGTGTGTGTGACTGTGAGGAGGAGAGGGAGAGAAAGAGCACAAAAGTATCAGGCCGTATCGATCTAATACGCTATTTAATCTCGATTAACTAATTGACAATCAAATGTTCTTGTAAATATCATTCTATTTCAGAATACTGAAAAAAAAAACCGAAAATACAAAATTCTCTTTGTTATGCATCAACGTGTCATTGTCATCATCAAAGTTTCGGTTTTTGTTTTGTTTCGCCTTTCTCATTCGTTGTTCGCTTATTTTATCTCTTGCTTTAATTTTTAGTGTGTTTGTTGCGCAGTGTGTTTGCCCGGGTCCATGTGATACGAACTTGTAAATTTAGGCAGCAAGCACTTCTTTCGATCTCGACACAAGATTGTTGAAAGGTGAATAATTCGGCGTGCAGATAAAATACAATGGGTGAAATTCTCTAATTTACAAGCAATTTTACACCGTGTTCCGTCGTCGTTTTTCCATTCAATTTTCATCTCTTGAAACCATCGTTGGTGTGCCTGTGTGTGTGTGTGTGTGCCGAAAAAAAAACAAACTCATGGAAATGCGCCAAAAGAGCGCCATATCCATGCAATACACATTTTTCGTGCCGTTCAATAGACAAAGCGCACAATCTCGTCAAAATTAAAGACTAGCATTACTTGGAAACGGAACCTATGCTACTCACAGTTATTGAAATTGATATTATAATACCTATAAACAATGAAGCTGTAACAACAACAACAACAGCAGTGAAATACATTCATCCCGAAAAATTTATCTCTCTGAAGAGGCATTCTTTTCGAAAAAAAAATTTGTTTTCTTTCGCTGGTCATGAAAAAAAAAACGCCAAATGAAAAGAAATCGTGCTCTTTTCAATGGAAAGAAGCATTTTGCATGGTCAATGAAAATTTGCCAGCACATTTATTTTTCATTCATTCTTTACAATAGAGCAAGAGATTTTGATAAAAACTTTACTAAGTAAAATATGTTTTGATTGATATACGTGATGTTAATGCGAGAAATTAAAATAAAACCGAAAACAAAACTCCCATTGGAGTGGCAAACCTACGTGCTGTGCGATTTAAATTCGATTCGAAAAATGACTTGTGAATTTGTTGCTATTTTGCACATACACAAATTTCTGATTCATTAGGAATTTAAGAACATTGGCCCGTTACTTACAGAAACGAAAGAAAATGAAGAAAAGATACTTATATTACTAATCAATGTTGAAAATGGTATGTAATCTTTTTTCCATACAATTGTGATCGTGTTCTTATTATCTGAGCGGTTGTTGTTTTTTTTTTCTTCTTCTTCTTTCGGCGAATGTTCGAATGAATTACACATGACGAACATACAAGTGCTTAGAAGTTAGATCGTTCCGAATGATGTTGATGATGATGATGACGATCATCAATAATAAACGCCGCAGCAGCAAACACACCATATCAGTGATCTGCAGATCTATTTAGCACAATCGTCTTCTTTCCGAAACCACATAAGCACACCAACACACACACACACTCAATTTCCCCTCATAAACACCACAGCACACCACAGATAGAGAGAGAGAAGTACACAACAAAACCGAATGAATCGACTAAATCAAAACAAAACGCACGATGCGCTAAGTGAAACACAATTCCAACAGAATGGAATAGAGATAGAAAATAAAGGTTTAAATACTTTCTACATTGGCAGCAATATCACATGAGCGCGCACAAAGAACGCAACACAAGAGATGCAAACCACACAGCCTCAACACTCAAATATATAATGCAAAGAGCACTCAAGCACACCGAAAAATTCAACGAAATGAAAACTAGAAGAGTGAAATAATTTGCGCATGATCAATCAACACAATTTATATGGATTCAACTAGGGATCTATCAATGGATGCACACAGAAAATGAATAAAAGATGCGTCTCAACCGATCATAGGAAAAATTCTCGGCCACAGTCTCTGAAACACATTTTATAAAAAAAAAGCAAATCACAGCGTATACCGCGAATGGGCAATCGTTTCCGGAAGCCAAACATCAAATAAAACAAATGTTTGCATCACTGTCCATATATCTCTCTTCGTGTGTCCATCGCAATCAATTGCGCCAATCAACAATTACTGCTCATGCTACCAGCGATGTGACCTTCTGTGTGATCATCGCAAAATCAACACAAAAACACATTCACACACCCAATCACTGTATATATCAGACACCCAATCACAATATATCACTGGGTTACATCTCATGACGGCTGTTTTTTTTTTTTTGTTGCTCGCATCTATTTTTTTTATAACGCGTGCATCTGCATTACAATGATTTGCACTGTATATAATGAAATAGCATCGTTGGTCAGCCGTAATTGGATCAATATGAATGAGTTCTTTTGTTCTCGGCCCCTAGCGCAAATTAAAACTACACCCATATGCTATATTATCGAATTTTTGTATTGTTTGTTAGTGTTTTGTATTACGCGCAATTTTGCTCTTTCATCTCTTGATTAAACAATAACTGATCTATATATTGTGAAATTCTTTCGAAATTAATTGCTCCACCTGATGTTCCATTCAATTCAATCTAAAAAAAATTCGTTTGTTATCTTTAATTGAGAGATTTTGTTATCTTCTCTGTGTGTTTGTGTTTAACAACCAGATTAATAGTCGTTTCACTAGAACTGATGTGTTGAATGTTTTTATTTTTAATTTTTTGTTTTTGTTGCCGCCGTAGATTTTTTTCGCTTCTGCTGTGTAATTACGAAAGAAAAAAACAAACTAACCGTATTCTTCAACCGTTTACGTTTGCACGAAATACATGTGGACACACTGGACATGCGGTTTTGCGCGTTCTCGCGCAAACCTTTAAATAATAATGTTTGTTTTCAACACTTGTTTTGATAACGGGATGAACTGATTCTCTTTTCTTTTTTTTAATATAAATTATTGCATAGAACATAGAATTGTTAAATGAAATACACATATATACACACTCATGACATCGAATGGGATATTGGTAGTCACACATATACAATATAAATACAAAAACCGAGAGAAACTGGTTCGCGAGATCGCTACAATAGAAGCGCGCGATGGACGCGATTTTCGAACCAAAAAAAACGGGCGCACGCTTACTATTTTCTCTGTCGTCCCGAATAAATACACCAACCATACACGATCGAATCCAGTATACAACTGACTTAGCACTTCACATCAAGAGATGAGACTAGCTGTCGGCGCAATCGCACAACTCACCATGTACACAACCATTTCTCTCTGCTCTAACAGATTTGTGTTTATTGTTTGTTACTTCGTTCGCTATAACGGTTCGTTTGTGTATTTTGTTTCGGATTATTTCGTTCGTTCGTTTGCGTTAGCGCTGCATTTTTCTATATATTTGCCGATTGAAAGAATATGAGAAAACATTGGAAAAATTATTATGATGCGCTCTCTTCTTGCATCATCAACTTGTTTTTTTTTTCTTCTTTTACTTCTTCTTCGGTGTATGCAATTCGATTTTTCACCTGTATGCATAGCTTTTGCATTTGAAATTGTACATACATACAGGCCATTCAAGTTTCGGAAGTAATGTGTGTGTCTCTTTTGACAATTTACAGTGTTTGGTATTAGCTATGTGTTTTCCGTTAAGTCCGAAATGGGATGCATGCTGCATATTTAACCATCTTTTATTAACGTAAATAACTTTGGTCAGTTTCCATTTGGTGATCAATTTCCATTTTGGTGATCAATTTTGTTTAATGGCCACACAATGTATGTGTGTACAGCGGTGTGTTCAATGTATGCTGTGAACCGATTTTAAATACTTTTCCATCAACAAAATGTATCTACAGTTTACTAGTGTAAACACTATACATATCAAAATGTTCATGTTGTTGCCGCTTTTAAAAGCCAATTTTCCATTAATTGGAATTAATTTTTAACAGCAATTGCAGCATCTTTATGGGTACCATCCATACAAATGCGACATTTTGCGCTCACCACACTGCACTCTACAACTAAGTATATTACACTTTTATTGCTCGTTTGGGTCATGACACAATAAATCATGCCGCACGCACGCACAATACACTTTTTTTTCTCTTTCGAATCTATTGCACTTACTCATTCTCTATATCGTCTGTGTTCGCCACCACAGACACCAGCCAGCATACATCAATCAAAATTTGGTCATCAACATTACTTACTTACGATTATGTCTGTCGGTGCCTTTAATAAAATTCGAATTCACATCAAATTAACCATTTAACTCAACGTTTAATGCAATTTTGGTCGTTGAACATTCAGTTTTAAACGACTTTTGAACGACAAAAAAAAAGAATCGCAATTGAAACAATTTCATTGAGTGATTTCGTTTCTGGATAATCTAGACACTACGCACACCAAATGACTTTGAAGAGAAGTCATTTTCTGTCTCTTTCGATCTTTTACGATATTGTCACTGAAATATTAATTCAAAGCACACATGATGCATTCACGATAGCTACTACGGAAATTTTAGCAATTCGATTTGGTTGACTCAAACATCGCAAATCTATTTCCAAATACATTTTGTTAATAGCATTTTAAAACAAATTATTGCCAAATGCAGATATATTTATTGAATTGCTGTTTCTTTTTAATTTGGACAATTAGTTTTGAATGCTTCAGTTTTTAATCATAAACAAAATGGAAAATGTTCAATATAATCATTACAAAATGCGTTTGTTCGGTCATTTTTATGTTGTTGTATTTTGTTATGTTAAATCGGAAATCATGTTTCGCATCGTTGAATTAATTTTACAAAATTCTCAAACCACTTACACTCAGCACTACTGTATGACATTGCATTTTATGATTTTACAACAGCATTCGTTATGTGATTTAAAATTGCAGCATCATCAAACATTTGAGCACAATTCATCCTGACAGTGTTTTACATCTCCTCAGTTAGTAGCAAAAAATGTGTTTTATAGGTAGGTGTAGACTTCGAGACTCAAAAACGTAAACGTGTCAATAAATGTTGGTTTCGGTGAAATCTTTTCCTGAATTTCATAGTTTTTTCTCTTCAGAGGATTTTTGTTAAAAATCAGGAACTTCTCTTCTATTTTATGGCGCAAAGTAAAGGACATGTCAAAAATGGCAACAGTACGTATCACGATTCTGTCCCAAAAAAAAATTACGGATGCCATTCATCAGTTAAAAGCGACAGTGGATGTTTTGGACGAAAAACGCATTTCACTGTCTCTTATGGTTGATCAGAAACTGAGCAAAATCAAATGAGCATAAATCCATAAATAAACATAGATGTGAAAAGAAAGTTGTGCGAATTAGTTTTGTGTATTTGGCCAGCCGGTGTGGTCGGTCTCAATTTTTTTTGTTCGTTTTCTTCCGATTTTCATTCGATTTAATATACGATCTTAAGTAAGTGCGCGAAAGTAGCAACAAGATCCACCACCGATTATTTAATCATCATTTTGCAATCATCGTTCGATGCGTTGACCAAACAACTTATTAAATGGCCGTTAAACGGAAAAAAAGATGCTTGTTTTTTTCAAACATTTTCGCATGATGCTGTTTGTGCGTGGTAAGTGTACTTGTGAACGATTTTGTATGTGTGCGTGACAGTGCAAAATAGGTATCGAATGCATGATAACATTCGCTCAGATCCATTATCACCATACTTTACGATCAATTAACATTCAATGCAGCGTAGTTCAAAGCCAGGAAAATATGGCTCGAAGATATTTTGTATTCCGTTTAATATAAGCTTATGATTTTATTATAAATCGCAATGTAGAACTAGTTCCGCATGAGTATAGCATAGTTGAAGGTGATTTCTCCAATTCGATTTAATGCATTTGCTCGCCATTAAATTGCATTACAAATGGTTACATGTCACAAACACAACCGATTTGTGCCCAAGACACTTCTCGTATATAACACATTTTACGCAGACATTTTTATCGCAACGAAAAACATTTGACTAATTGGAGAAAAAAAAACAGCAATTTCAAAATAAACAACACACCTTTGAGGAAGTACACTATTTCGAATATTTTGAATTCATTTCATCACAAAATATGTCCCATTTGTCATTCATTTTCCAGAGATTTCATATCTAGAAATTATTTGAATAATTGAGATTACCATACAGAAATATTTCGATTTTTTATACTATAAAAACTGATAAATTCAATGTATACCCATATAACTCATTTGCGGAGTAATTTTGTCGATGACGGGACTGTGCGGAGTTCGGCGGAGATAGCATCCAAATGCTGTGTGTACGAGTGCAACAGCATTCTTTGCTGTTCATAGATTTATTTTGTCCAAACGAACATCTTAGTAGCCGTACACACAGCTAAGTTACTAATCATCTGCGTAAGAATGATGCACATAGAAGTGCTGTTACCCTCGTACACACAGAGCTTGTATTTCATCTCCGTCAAACTCCGCACAGTCCCGCCACCGTCAAAATTACTCCGCAAATGAATTATATGGGTAGTAATTCCGGTTCGTTTCATTTCGAAAAACATTGATGTATAAAACGGTCAATGAAAAGTGCAACTGATATTAATTTTATTTCAAATCTAACATCAGATTCTCTAGCGGAGAAACCTACATAATGTTTTGATTGAAAATAAATCGAAATGATATTTTAGAATTATTCCTCAGACTCTTTGAATATAGACTGCGAGGTCACATATGAGTGCTAGCTCAAAATATTCCCAGAACAAAAATCCTCTCAATGTGTTCAGAATATTGATTAATTTTATAATTCGATTTTTCCTAGTATTTCAGTCTCCTTCATTAATGAGAGTTCTTATTTAAAATGATTGACATCATTATTATTAAGTATAAAATTACCTTTGAAAAAGCATAACCTCTGTATAGAAAGTCTTTGGAATAAATTCAGGCGTTTATTGCGCTACATAACTGTCAACCAATGCACATAGGAGACTAGATGGGACTCCTACTCTACTGTCAAATACAAACCATTCAAATATATTCATTCGCGATGGTGTACAAATTGGATTTACGAAAAAGTGTCTCAAGTGGTTTTTTGGACAGCTAAGTTCAAAACAAATTCTGCATGCGCGTAAAGTTGAACCAATCTGTCTTCGAACCATGCATCGTGTTTCATGGAATTAGTAGGATCTTTAGGAATCAGCAAAATAAGTTACGAAAAAATTCCGAAGGGTGTCATAAATTGGGTGTTTACTTCACCTCATAGCATGTTGCACTGAAAAATTCATCATTTTGGACGGTGAAACATTCATCGCTATATCGAATCACGAATCAAGTGCAAGTGGTTTCTCTTGCATTGATTATATTAGGGCATTACTATATAAGGCTAGAGACGTCGACAACCCGAACTTTGATAAAGGGGTGTTGGTATGGTGGGATCTTCTTTGGAAGGTGTTTTAGAGCCATTATTCGAAAATTTAATGCTAAAAATGAAGGTTAAACCTCCATTACTTGCTCAATTATCAACCAAATATTGTTGAAATCGATAGAATTCGTTGAGAACTATCTGATTAAAGACAAAATTATGATTTGCAAGCAGAATAAACCACAATAATGGCTCACTTCTTGAAAAATATCATTTCCATGAAAAAAGGACCATCTTTTTAACTTCAGAAAAAAACACAAAATTAATTATTTCTAGTCTGTTTTTGGATGTATGTTATAGGTGAAGGTTCAAAATACTTGAAACGTGCAACAATTGGTTGGATGGATTGGTCCGTTCAGTGTAAAGTGAATGTGCTATTCGATAGCCTATGAATAAAAGTTTATACCAATAAAAAAGAATTTAATATTGTGTATTTGTTTTTCAAATGGCGAACGCCTTAATTTATTCCGAAGACTTTCTATACAGATGTTATTCCGAAAAATGGTAGAAAAAAAGATTTTTACTAACCGTTGTAAAACTGGGCTAAAAACTGTAAAAACCTGGAATGTAGAATGCAAACCTCAATTTGAAGTGTAAATAAAATGCATTTTGATAAATGAAAGTAACAATGTTTTTGAACAATTGATCTATTGAATTTATTTCGTACTGATGTTTTTCCAATAATGAATAAATAAATAACTATTTTTGTGTGTTGCAATTATTGGACTGAAATTCACTCAACACATCATGTTGCTATTAAACAATTGAGAGTAAATATGTAAATTTGTTTGCCGTTTCAATGGGTATCATTATCAGCTACAATATTGTAAGAAATATTGGCGAAAATTTTAATGGACCGAAGTATCGACCACAATCTCAATCGGTATATTAATTAGGCTATTGATTTCGCTTGCATTTTGTGTGCATTTTAGCGTGATCAATTTTCGATTTAATATTTATTAGAAGCACTTAATTTTACATAAAACAATTGCAACTCAATCAAATTCAGGATACGTTTCTCGACGAAAGAAGATTGAGAAATCTATAAAATTCAATGAAGAGAACAATTGTATAATATTGAATTGAATGGTTGTGGATCGAAAAAGATCTGATAATCTAAAATCGAGACCTTGAAATGATTTGGAATCACCCTTAGAAAGTGTGTTAGAAAAAAATGTCCAGTTTAGACAAAATATGATTCTCAAAATATGAATTTCAATATGTGAAAAATAAAGTGCATTACCCTTAGAAAGTGAAATCAATGACAAATATGCACGAGACAGTTTTTCCTGAACTACTAATATAACTTTTCCTTCATACCCGTAAAAATTGCGGATGTTTAAAAAAGCAGTTCTGAATAAACTAAATAAAAACAACAACTTCATTTATGATCATCTTCCTTCATTTTCACCTTTTCTTAAGCTTGTGTGTCGAAGTTTGATTTATTTTCAAAGCGAATGTGTGTTCGGCATCTGAAATTTGTTTAATGCTTTTTTTTACTTCCCAAATGTAATTAAGTGATCATATATGATGCCGAAAATGTGATTGAGCTTGTTAGAAGAAGCAAACAAAAAAAAATCAGCTCTTCTCACTTTCGAACAATAATTGTTGAACAATAAACAATTGAGCCAAGAGAAAAATCGTTTTATTTGTCTATTATAATTGTTTTTTCCATCATCAACGTCTTCATTTTCTTTTTCTAAATTTCAAGATTCAATCGTTCTCTCTCTTTCACTCGTTCAAGCATGCAAACAATGCTTTTGATTAAATTTGTCGGCCTGTCATTATTTTTGGTCGATCTTAAGAAAATCTTATTCCGGTTCAAATAAGTTTTAAAAGAACGTTTTAAAGCCACATTTTACTCCCCGCGCACTTGAATTAACCTAATTCGCGAGTGCGACGGTAAGATTTTTGCCGATGCGAGACGCCAGTAAATAATGTCTTTCCACAACAGACGAAAGTCATTAATACCGCATTTCAATGAATATATTATAATGTGAGTTGTTGTATTTTTGTTTCGCTTCATTCTCTCTCTCTCTCTCGCTCTCCCGGTGTGCGTTTTTTTCTCTTCAATTGGTTCAATGTTTTATTCCATTGTCTTTCTGCATACATGATCTCATGAACACACAAAAAAAACACAATAATAACAATTTTAAATGTGAACATCGTTCGAACGCGCGAGCGCGCTCTGTTTCTCCCATTTCATTCTCTGCATCTCACACACTGAACGCATTTGAACTTCATCGTCAAGAAAGTGAATCATCATCATCATCTGATCGCGCGTCGTCATTGTGCGTGCGCAAAGAATGGCAAGAGAAAATTGAAGGCGAAAAATCATGGAAAACAGTTCAACATCTAAATTATCTGGTCAAATTGGAATGTTTTTTTGTTCATCTCTTCTACATAACAAATAAACACAAAACACATCTATATCTAATCTCTTTGCCGTTTTGGGTGCGTGTATTCTGTTTATATTATTATGAAATATAATACTCTTTCACTGATGATCACAAACATGAACATTACTACAACAATGCTCGCATTTCACACACAATCCTGTCAATTCACAACACTTTCCCGCAATCGGCTCATTGTCTCTCAATCAATAATTAATTTTCACATTTAATGTAATTTCAGTTTCGTTTTGAATGGCTCATCACATTTCAGCAAACTCATTCATCACAAGTGATCACACTTATCAAGAGCAAAAAAAACACAAAACAAAAAAACATTTAAGGAGACTTTTGTTCAATTGGAGCTTCAAAAAGTTTTTTTATTGTTTTTGGTGCTGTTCTGGAAAAGCAACGGTGACTACAATTTAAACACCGTTTGGCGCGAACTATTGCATTTTGTTTTGTGTTCTATTTACTTTGGGTAGAAAATGATGCAAAAGAAAATTACTATTTCTTTCGCTGATTTTTTTTCTTTTCAGTTTTCGAATAGAAGAAATTGCCCAAGGAAGTAACGCCTTGAAATTTCATGAGAAAAAATTGTGTATTTTTCGTCGTTCACTCTATCAAGAGGTTTGCTTGTGGATAGTGCATGTCCTAACGTTATTTTTTCTGTAATATGAACCCGCTATTGATGTCGTAAAAGAAAACTCTGAGTCTGGGTGTGGTAAAAGTGAATTCATAACAAATTAATATTCCACAAAGTTATGCAAATGGTGCCATCGATTTTGATCAATTTTTTTTTGCGAATTTCAGAAGTTGCATGTTACATTTGCGTTTTGCGTCTAAGCTAAGCGTTTACATTGGCGATATGTCGATTTAATGCTGTTTTACATGAATTTTCATTTGTTTATTCAAAATCGATACAAATTACGCACAAGTCTTGTTTTTCATACAAACGTATATCCATACCATACTGTTTTCATTGCACGGTGCTTTGACAGGTTTTCAACGTTTGCGAATAAAAATGTATTTATCACTGTTTCTTTGTCAAGAAATGCCGAAAAAAAATCTGCCCATGTGAAGGTGAATGGTATTTATTTATGTGTGTGCTTCGTCCCTTTGGTGACAAACGAGCTCTGAGTTCATTGTGTTCTTTTTGTTCTTTGCAAAAATGTGATGCCGAAACGTCCGGTGTATTTCGTGTAAACCAAAATAGTGTTGCTGAAATGAAATAAATAAGAAATTCACGTTAATCCGTCTCTCTGATCCCCATCGTTCCGTTGAATGCACAACCTGATGCGTGTCATTTAAACTAAATGTGTGCGAGGCAATGTTAAATATTGTGGAATTTGGTTCAAGAATTGTTCTCTATGTGACCAAACATGAAACTGCTGCAGGATTTCTATATATGTTTGTGGTGATTTAATAGTGGCGACACTTCCAATGGCGACGATAACAGATGTAACAGAATCGAATTTCTGGAACACAGACCAATCCGCATGGGTCACAATACGAACGATATTTGCATGACCGCAAGCTGCAATGTGAATGCAAACTAGTACATGGTGAGCACGAGTAACACGATCCGTATGAATAACAGCACAAATCGGTACACATTTTCCTCTCTTTCTCTATTCTCTCTCTGTCTGTCTCTCGCACACTTCTTAACGACTTGCTTGATAACATCGCCGAAGAGTAAGGAGAAGAAGAAGAGGAAAATTCGAAAAGACGTTGATTTTAATTGCAAAATGAAAGTTTACAACAAACAAACAAAAAATCACCTCCAAGAAATGCTTTCCGTCCCCTTTTTTTTAAAACCAACAAAAATCGAACGCTTTGAAAAAGAGCTAAGAAAAAAGGTCCTTGGTCCGCCAAATCAGCGATATAGTCAACTGAAGCGCAAATTCGTTTCTTGCAAATGATGAAGTCACAATAAATTTTAGCTTGGTGTATCTGCTTCGATTTTCTCACTCGCGTACACATCGCGGTTGTTATAGAAACCATTTCAGGCATTGATATAACTTTCAGTGAACTTGATCTATATTTCGTGGCGCAAAAAAAATAATATGCTTTATTCATTCTAAACACGAACAAAGCAGAATACACACATTAACAAAACCAAGCGAGTCTTACAATTTGCGTTTATTTTGGCTTTTTGCTTTTCCATTCGATTTGCAAATAATACTTTTTTGTTTTGTTGTTTGCAATTTCTCAAAGTTCGTATCATAAATTCAGATGACAACAAATTATATGAATAGAATAATTCGAAATACTGAGCACAAACCACATCAGAATCTAATTACAAAATCAATTTTACATATTTATTTGGGACAAACTATACATTTTTATCGACCGAAGCGCGCGATTAGGCAAATATAGAGAAAGGGTTCCGTGCACCAATCATCTAATAAACGATTTGACAAGAACTTCAGCGTATTTATATTGCAATTGACAACCACAAATTATGCTCCACTGACATACATCCATACTTGTGTCGTGGATTTTTCATGTTTCACATTTTATTGCAATCTTTTTTTTCCCTCTCTCACGCTGTAGTTTTTTAAGTTCAATGTTCATGTAAATAGAAATGAAAATCACAACTTTGTTGAAAAATCTATTATAGAAATTGGTTGTGGTTTAATCACAAGACTCATTGAACATGGAAATTGTCCCGGATAGAATTGCTTTGCATATTTCATGGCCATTCATAATCGAATATTTAATGCTGAAGTTTTCTAAATCATATTTCTCGAAAAGAACAGCACTAATTTAGTTCTTACCTACAATCTTGTTCGGAGATAGAGAGAGAGAGAGAGAGAGAGAGAGAGAGAGAGCAAGAGGCATCATTTTGCGTAAGAAAACTTTAATAACGTATGAATGCCAAAAACATAGCAGTATCAATATCTTAGAATGTTATGTGAGATGCACACAATGTTGAGGAAAAGTTCGGATCGAATTTCGAAAGAAAACACACAAATTAATTTAAGAATAAAACGAAAAGTTTTCTTCGCTTTCGAAGACTTATTCGATTTGGAAGATTGGTCGGGATGGGTTGTTGAGTTATTCGACATAAAATAGGTTCGAACTTTGTTCAGATATATTTTTTGCCCTAGTTTATTACAACACACATTGTTCGATTCCAAGCGAATGCATAACGTCATACAATTATCTTGTCTTGCATATGCATCTCCTACAGTAGAAAATAATCGACACACTCACTTAGTTTTTAGTGTTTGAAATTCATAGTTTGAAGAGAAAATTTGAATGGAGCATTTTTTTGTCGGTGACAGTATACATATTACATAGTCTTTTGTGATGGTTCATTTATTTGCAAGAAATTCGATTCAAAACAAGTAAGTGTTCATTGTTTCAATTTGATTACGAACTGAAAGATGAACTTTATTGAACAAAAAAGAAGTTTATTTTGTGGGCGAAGAAAAACAATGGGTGTACTCAGAAGAGTGTTTTGAATTCAAAGCCTGAAATTGTGGTTTTTTAGAAATTCTCTGTGTTTTATGCACTTTTGCTCCTGTTTTAAGAGGCTTTCGTTCATATCTTTTCTTAGCAAGAGAGACTGCTTGTCAGAGCAATAAATGTGGAGCGCTCTGAGGAACTGGAATAGAATTAGATTAATGTTTTAAATTCTGATATTTTGACCCTCACTAAGGACTCCTCCTTACTTCTCCCTTGCTACTCATGGCTCCTCCGGCTCCTCGAAGCGCTCCTTCTTTTACATATACTAGTAAGGTGTATAAGCTCATTTAAGATATGTTTGAACAAATGAACAATTACATCATCGTGCTTAAGCTTTGCGTCGACATGTACCTTTCCAGTCATGAAAAGAATCAGACATAAGCTTGCTTTAAAATGTATCAATAACCTTCTATTTACACAATAGCATTGCTCTGATAAACAGTCTCTACTAAATGACGTCTGACGGACCATTAATATAAAAAAAGGTTCATTTAACCTCCAAAGAGATGTATTTATTTTGATCTTAATGAAATATAATCAAAAATTGCACTTTTCTACATGGTAAATGAAAAAGACGTATATTGTTTTGTATTCTTATCCATGTAAATATTACATCTAAACTAAATAAAAACGAATTTTCGACATCTAAGTCATTATCTAAATATAAACGTGCTATTAATTCCGTGCGACGCCTGCAAATGGCATTTTGTTTAAACGATTGTATTGAATTCACCGGAATTTTCGATAGCTCGTCGGTCCCACATTTTTGCCACCGATTGTACAAAACCAGGTTTGATCCGCACGGCTGAGTTCATTTTACCTGCAATGGAGCTGCAAATTTATCAAACAAAATCCAAGTGATCGATTATGAATATTCAAACAATTTGATACTTACGAAAATCAACTTCGTCGTCTGTACTTTGTGTGCAACATCCATTTTTGCGTGAATTCATTTGAGTGATTGGAGCATCAACATGTTTTCTTGTGCCATTGCGATGATAAACACTGTTGTCGTTTGAGTGATGATGTCGCCGATCGTCTAAATTATGTGCTGAAGTAGAAGCAACAGTAGTGTTTATCGTTCGATTGTTAGACATTGACATGGGTTGAGCATAGTTTCGAATGACCATCATTGGTGCCGGCTGCTGCTGCGGTCGTTGTTGTTGTTGTTGTTGTTGTTGGTGGTGGTGATGTTGATGCTGATAATGTTCTGGTGCCGGATCGCGATATCGGCTTAATTCTTCTGATCGTGTTATTTTGATATTGGAATGTTTCGGCGGTGGCCGTTCATAGTCGTTGTGATCATAGTCACGGCTCAATTTGTACATCGATGTCGAATGGTTTCTTGTTGGTGGTGGTGGTGAATAGGATGATTGATGATCCAAGTATTGCGGATATGCAGATGTTTGTTGACGTTGGATGGCAGCATATTTTGGCATTTGGTTGTAATGCATTGTAGAATCGGTACGATGATCACGACGATGATTTGTCGTCGGATCACCACGAATCACATATTCGTCTGGATGCACCGTTTGAACAATGGCCGTTTTATGTGTATCGGCCACTTTGTTAAATGTTGGTCGCTTCTTTTCTGGCATCAAAACACGTTCAAATACTGGCTGCTCAGCCTGTGGCAAATGTTGATACTGTACAAAATCGATTGTATCACCGCGATGATAATTGCCATTTTTCGCAATGTCATCCGACATCGATGGGGCGGCACTTTGGAGCGTTTGCGTTTGCACTTGAACTTGCGTCTCTTTTACAAGTTTCGATGATTTCATCGCATCCGGTGGCTCGTCGATCACATGGTGTGGAGTCGGTTCTTTCACCTGAATACCTATTGTTGTATTCGATGGAACCGTCTCTGAAACGGTTACAATTTTCTGCTGTTTTTGGGGCTGTTGTTGTTGTTGTGGTGGTGGGGTCTGTGACTGGTGTTGCGGCATGGTGATTTCGTTATCTGTTTGTGTGGTATCGGTCACATGTCGAGCCATCGGATCAGACAAATCATACAGCATGACCAATGCAACAAAGAACGACAAACAACCCAAAATGATGGAATTATCATGCAATTCCCATGGCACCTGATCAAAGGCGGCCAATACGATTCCACCTGAAAAAAATGAAGAAAACCTCAACATATAATTCTTTTTTTTTTAAGTTTGTTTTATGGTGAACTTTAGACACCCTTTTCCGTATGCAAACTTATTAAATATGAAATGTTGGACACAAAAGCATCAAAAGCTTTCAACATTGTGCAACTTTTGATTCTTCACATTGATTTTCTTTAGCGCTGTACATTTTTTTGCATCCGAGTGCAAGCGACATCAAAAAAAGTTTCTTTTAAAGGGTTCATGTATTTTTCATTTTAGTAGAGTCAATTAAAAATGTCTCGGTAAATATTATACTTTTACGCAAATAGTAGTGAAATTTTTACCGCTTTTTCTCAACTATATTACATTTGCTAATATTATTTTATGAAATAATACGGGTGTTACATGAATTCTCTTCTGTTATTCAACTTGAGCATAGCTTACAAATTTTCCATGCACCGAATATGTTTGTTTAATTTTCATTCTTGTTCTCGTCGCTAGATTGTTGATTTTATGCATTTAAGGGTTTCGCATTTTAAAATGAAAGAACAAGAAAAAGAAGGGTTTGCAAGTTGCAACATGAAAGTAAATATCGTTACCATTAAATTACTTTGGCGAAAGTTATGCGAAAAGTGTTGAAGCGTTATTTCACCTCAAATCAGTTGATGTGATAGTTTTTCGATAATATTTCACTAAAACGGCAATTTTCCAGCGATAAAAACGAGTTTTCGAGAAATAGTGGTTTGCGATCAAAATTTTGAGCTTCTGCAGATGGTAATGAGAAATGAATGCAAATATTGTAGAATGGCCAAACATCAACGGTGTGTATATTTTTAATGCATAGCATCAAAAAGTATTTGTTATTGTTGAAATCGTTGTTTTTTTTTTTACTGTGAATGACCTTGCGCACTGTTGTGAATTACACAAGCGCAATAATTTTCAGTGAGATTGTGTTGAGGCTGTAACAAGGCCGTTAGCATCTCGTTAAGAGTCACTTATTTCTTACCCGAAAACTCGATGACTTCTCGAAAATTGTGCTTTTTCGCCTCTTCATCTCTCCCCGCTTTTCCGTTTTCTTCTCTCACATTCGGCTCATTATATTATGCGCGATACAATGTAGAAAGAAGAAAAACACATCATGCAACAATAAAAATGTATTTTGATTGAAGCACGTGCTTCGTCTGAGTATAGATTAATTCAATGAGGGTTCATGTTGTTTATCAAATGCAAAATTACAAACTTGACACATTTTATTACCAAGTATTTTTATTTTTTCACTCTCTATGTCACATAAAATAGCAATGAAGAGAGCGCAAAACAAAAAATGTGCACACTGATTGATGGGATAAAAATGTATGAAAATGACGCCAATTTGTCGAGCGTAAATCGAATGGTTTTGTTTTTCTCTAAGGTAGGCAATATTGTGTATGTGTATGTGCAGAGTAGAAAAGGTCATTTATCGAGATTATTATCGAGTTTTTTTATGATGCAAAATTTCAACAACCAGCAACAACAACAGTAAAAAAAATAACTAAACAAATGAAACATGCATTCAATACATACCCATGGCAAAGAAACAGAGCATTCCGACGATTAGAAAAATTTTCTCAATTAGCGATGGTCTTGTATTGGCATCGATACACCTAAAGATTGAAAAAGGTGAAATAATCAGAAAGAAACAAATAAAACAACAAAAAAATAAAAAAAAGCAACGCAATCATCATGGAATAAACAAACATGCAAAACCATGTGCAAAAACAAACATTGGATACAATGTATTCAAAAGAAATATATGCTAAATGAAAGAAACAAACGAAATGAATGTAAGCGAGCAATGTATGGAGAGAAAAAAAGTGCGCAAGCATATGCACAGTCATAAAATGTGAGTGCATTTTTTTTCGCGTGTTTCTCTTCATGCATTCGTTTTACTTATGGTAGATGAAAACATTTGCATGTGTGACACACATTAAATGTATAGTGTATACGCAAATCGGTCGGTAGTGTGCCCGTGTGCTTGCAGCCAGATACACATGCCAAAATGCAGAATCAACGCACATATATCTGGTGGTGAATTACACGTGTGCATTGTGCACAATTTTTTTTTGTCTTCAATGTGAACAGAAACATGCGAATATCAATTACAATTATTCTATTTACAGTATGTTTCATTCTTTTCTTCTTATCTTCTTGTTTCTTTTTTGATTTTAACTCGTTTCTGTTGTTGCCTGCTTATATGTCGATGTATGTTCTTTGTTTTTTCTTCACTCGCTCGCTATCTCTTTCCATCTATTTTACAAAGAAGTCTCTTACCTTGAAATTAGCATAAGTGTGGTAATCAATGAGAATCCACCGTACGTTATATTCGCAAACGTATTTCCCGCCGAAGACCATGTTATATTGTGCAGCAGACTCCATTCTCTACAGTTTCAAATATGAGTTTTCACCCGAAATAAAAAAAAACACACACACACACAAGAAGAAAAGAATGTCAATAAATAAACATTGCCGTAGCATGCATATGTGCTTAATGCAAATGATAGCCAAACAATTCTTAGAAAAAGTTTTGAACTTTCCATCTCTTTATGTGTGTTTATCTTAACCATTATTCTCATGGTATAAATTTTGATAGTAAAAAATTACATGTATTAAAAGAATTGTGATTGTTTTTCTTCGCCAAAAAGGTTGATACATTAATAATATATATAAATTCACACAGTAAGAAAATCCAAAAAAAAAATATTATTCGATGCATTAGTGGTGCAATCCATTAATTAAAAATTCCATTAAAAATAAGTAAAAAGTTTCACCTGGAGTATTTTTGGTTTCGTAGGAATACACGTCGCGATTCCAGATCAGTAATTACTTTCGTAACAAAACAAGCAATGCAACCCAACTAAATCCCGGAGAATTATAGCAAAGCAAATAAAATTGATAAAAAAAACAAGGGATTCAAGGCAATTATCAGTCTATATAGTAATTATTGCACGTTTGATGTATTATAATAGAATTTACTTGCTACTGAATTACTAAAACGCTCATTGAATGAATACTTAAAAACGGTACAAGTTTTCGATCATTTATTCACAGACGATACAAGAGTGAAGCCTTGATGAGCAATTACGCGATTTCAAAAGTACGTATATAAAATTGATTTTTACAACAAAATCTCGACATTCCAAGTTTTTATTGTACCGGAAAGAGTATACGTGCCCTTAAATTGTGGATTCAGACTCGGAGGGAAATGGCAAGATATATGACTCATGAATGTTGGAGAAAAACATTTACTCTATTTTCGTGAGATTTACTTGAAAATCAAAAATTATTAATCGGTGACTTAATTTTTATCGATTCACTTTTCGGAATACGAAGACAAAAAGAAATTACAAAATGCTTTTCAGAAAAAAAAAAAAATACTTTTTTCCACACGAAAGTTTGTAGCTTTTTTTGTTACAACAGAAAAGTGGCGAAAAGACGTTTTAATTATTTAAATTCGATCCTCATGGAATGAAGATCTTTGTTGATAGATCATGGTTTTTGTTCTTCGAATGAATTCTATCCACGATTCCGTCTTCCAAAACAATTTCACGTATTTTTTTTTTTTTTTTATTATTCTTCTCACGAAATCATATGTGTCTGGAGAAAACTTCTCACCAATTCAATAATTTTAATGGTAACTCGTGCAATAGCCGACCGCATGCTGAACGTGCCTTCTTTTTCACACACAAACACTTCTCGTAAACACAACTACTTTAAACCGATCAACGATAATCCCCACAAAATCAAGTTGCCATTATTTGGCTTGAACATTATTATTTTGGTCCATTGATTTTAAGAAGTAAATTGATTTTTTTTTACCACCGAGTCACTACTTGCGGTAATTGATCTGTGTGATATCAACGCAAAAATACATTGAGTCACTTTTGTTCAATTTCTTGTCAATTTTTTTCGCACTGTTCGTCGATTGATTTGGATCGCACTTAAAAAAAAAATCGCATTGAGAAGAAAGAAATTGAGAAGAAAGAAAGGAATTTCTTCTTATGGGAAATGCGTCTCTCTTTTTGAATTAAAACCACGGCAGAATGAACATTTGGTCAACGTCAATCGATTGAATAAAATATTTAGCAGATGTAAACAGAACTAAACTGAACTGAGTGACAGAAAAATGCAAACTGCACCAAAGTGATCAGTTTTGGTTTTGTGGTTAGAAAAAAACGTGGTGTGTAGGGAATAGTTTTCATGTAAAAGATAAATTACCTGACGAATAAATAAAATAGACAGAAGCAACAGCGAATACGAGAACGAAGGAAAAAAAATCGCATCTGAATAACAATGAAAACAGTTTGTATGTGTCATTCATTCATTTACATTTACTTTATTGTGTTGTGAATATTTGTTGTTTCTTTTGAGCACATTTGAGATATGACCGAAAATCTAAGTTAACATATACTCACGTGGGACCCAAAACAATGGAATGTATATTATATATATTCTTGAACTGCGTTTATTTGCAGTGGTAGTGCGACAGACAGGCCCATCTATCATATTGCTTCTGCCTCTAACACTTGGCAAATTTATAGAAGAAACAAAAAAAATACATCATATACTACACAAATTTCTGTTTGTTATTGTTGGTTTTTTATGGCCAGAGACGACGACGACAACGACAAATACCGCTGCTACTATAGATATTGACTAACTGTGCAAAATATGTGTGCACCTCATAACATTTTTTGGTTTATATGAAATTCGTCGCATTTATTTCCCATGCCATGTGTGTAGTATCAAGAGTGAGTGAGTTCGAGAGACAGAGACCTAGCGATGGAAGACAATTGCTTTGAATGGGTTTGTTTTCAGTTTATGCAGTAGTAACAATTATTATTATTTTAGATGCATTTTTTTGTTGGTGTTCATTTTCATTCTATCGTCTCTTTATCGTTTGTGTGTTTGCCGGTGTTTTAAAACAATTAGTTCCCATTTGAAAATTGGACACGTCGTTGTCGTCAGGCCATTTAATTCGGATTGTGTAAATAAGACATTTTTCGTAACACAATGAAAACTGATTCGAAATTCGATTGTTTCGTTCATTTTATCGAAATGTGCCATATTTCAAATAATCTACATATATACATTTTGTGCAAAATGAAAATTCACAAGGTAGAATTTATTATGTGTCACCTCATTCAATTTGCCCGTGAAATGTGTGCCAGCCCACACCATACGTTGTTTTTCACAACGCATCGCTCTTTTGCCATTTTTTTACATTACTTGGCGACATAGCCACAATAGGACCATAAACGTTTATCTCTCTTTTTCTCCTGAGTATAAAATGCTTCAGGTAATTATAGCCATAGAGTTTCTATTTATTATTTTCGGTGCTTAAATACTCGATGGAATAGTTGTATGATTATGGCAAAACTATAACCAATATGTTACATTGAAAGAGAGTTTTCTTCTTTCTTTCTTTGCTCGGTCACATTTACAATGAGGGCACATATTTACTTTTACTTATATGGTGTATATGAATTGCATTATACTTTAGAAAAGCTCCAATGGACCAACGATACAAAAAAACACTCACACAAAAATTACAATTGCATGAAAATATATATCTCTGCAAAAGACTGAATCCATTATTTTAGCTTATTAGAATGCACAAAAAGTGGCGCTTCAATGAATTCAGTAGAAAAAAAAACATACATCTTCAAATAATCGGCTCAACAACTTGAATTGACTAATTTGCTTTTGAAATTCGCTCAAGTGGTTGAAAAGAATCCCTATTTCATCAACAACTCTTTTAGGATTGGATTGAAGTTTTTCTCTTTCTTTCAAATTGTAAATAGCGTGATGAGAATTCAAAGGAGAATAAATTTAAAAAGAGTGCAATAACAACCGACCGTATCTCAAACAGTCCAAGCATGAAAAAATAAATTTAAAAAAAATGATAAAAATTCGCTTGATTTGAAGTCCATGAAAAACAGTAGTTTTTCCAACTTTTTTTTTCTTTATGCGCTGCTTTAACCAAAAACAGGAAATGTCTTGCCTGCTCACCAGTAAACATCCCTAGTATTCCATAAATGAATGTGACAGATTCAAAATATGTAATTTGTTAAAAAAAAGTCCAAGTTTCATGGGGGCTGGATATGACGCATGAGAATCTAGGTAACAGATTATTTGGGTCAAATATATGATCGATTTTATTTTCTGAACAACAGAAAAATAATTTTCTAAACAACGTTTCATACACTGTAGCTTTTCCATCGATTTTGTTTACCAAATGTCATGCATTTGTGGAATGTTTACTGGTGAAGTTTAAATTTATATTAAATCATTTTAATTACTTGGCGATGTAACAAATAACGCTTCTGAAACACAAGCCCGAAGTGGAACTTTTAAAATAAACATGAGCGTCATTCACTGAAACGCTATTTCAAAATGTTAAATTAAATCATCTAAAATAGTTTTCCAAAAGCTTTAACAAGTCGGATTTGAAAAGTGCTTAATTTACCTTTACTGTTTATTTAGTAGTTATTATCATAATAATTCATAGTTTTTTCTTCAAATTTGATTAATTTAATGATGAGAAGGTCAAAAAAGAAGAAGTGCAAAAAAACTGGCGAAAGTCCTTAGCTTAGTTGAACATTTTATCAAATATTCAGCAAATACGCGATCGTGGTGCTGTATGGACTATGAAATTATTTGCGCAATGTGTTTTTTCACATAAAAATGATTGAAAATATGTTACGCTGGAAATGCATTCATCTGAAATTCCTTTTAATTAAAAATTCCTGATTAACGATATGGTACATTAATTAAAATCATAAAAGAAATTTCATTTCGTTTGTTAAATATTTGCGATTTTTTTCATTTGGTTAAATATTTATTTTAAATATTACGTAGGCTGCTCCATATATTTCTAGAAAAGCATATAAAACGCAATCGTTTTTTATCAAAAATGGCTTTATTGTTTTTCATAGTACTCTCCACGATGATCGATACACTTTTGCATGCGCTTGAACCAATCGTCATAGCATTTATGCCATTCCTCGTGAGACACCTTCAAAACGTGTGTTTTGAACGCATCAACTGCTTCTTCTGGCGTCGAAAATCGTTGACCACGCAGTTTTTTCTTTACGCTCGGAAACAAAAAGAAATCGTTGGGTGCTAAATCAGGACTGTACGGTGGATGACCCATTAAATCGATCTTTTAAGTGGTCAAATATTGAGTGGTTTGATGAGATGTGTGAGAGCTCGCATTGTCATGATGAAGAATTATTTTGCGACGACGGTCGTTTTTTCTTATTTCACCAAACATTCGGGCAAACAAATGGTGGTGTACCAATCAGAATTGACCGTCTTACGATCCTCTAGTAGAACTGTTGCCACATGTCCACTAATTGCGAAAAAACAGGCGACCATTTGCTTCGCAACACTTCGAGCGCGAACAACTTTCGTTGGATTATCTTCACTTTGGAAGACCCATACTGTGACTGCTGTTTACTTTCGGGCTCATACGCATATATCCACGATTCGTCGCCTGTGACGATGTTATATTTGTTGAGCATTTCTTTGCACCAATTCACACGAGCTAATTTTTGGTCATCGGTCAATTTATGTGGAATCCAACGAGAGCAAATCTTTTTTACGGCCAAATGTTCATGCAAAATCGTGTGTATGCTTCTCATACTAATGCTCAAGGATGCCTCAATCTCACGGTATGTGACATGACGATCTTGCTTTATCATGTTTCTGACAGCATCGATAGTTTCTGGAACAACAACCGATTTTGGACGACCTTCACGGAATTCGTCGATGAGCGAATGACGACCACGATTGAATTCAGTAAACCAGTGATATACAGTGGCCTTGCTTGGAGCTTCATCGCCAAAGACCAAAAGAAGTTGATCAAAACACTGTTGTTGAGATACACCCAATCTAAAGTCGTAGTAAATTATCGCACGAAAATTTTCACGAGTAAAATTCATTTTTTTGTTGAGACGCAATTTAGATGTCACTGTAAACAATACAAATAGCGCGCGTATGACAGAACGTTCTGAGATCGTTTATGCTACAAAATGTCAAACTTAACGAATATGACAATGGTTTGCATCTAGCAACGTCAGTATTGCCAATTCTAGAAATATATGGAGCAGCCCTCGTAATTCAATTTACATCATTTTTTAAATAATTGTGAATTAATCTATGAACGATGGCTTGAGGAGCGGAAGAGAGTGAGAATATTAAAATGGCGTATGAAAGGTGTTGTGCGCGGAATGTTCAGCTGAAACAAACAGCATCGATGTTATTAATTCCATATGTTCGATATACTGATTTCATGCAGATAATTATCCAACGTTTGGATGTATTTGTTTCAACGTTTTTTTTGTCATTGGCTATATTGAACAATTGCAAAAGTATTGCAATATCACTAATATAGGGGAAAAAAGAGCAACGCGACAAAATGCATATAACGATTCTCGGCTGTAGTTGGTTTTTATGTCACTTTTCCATGCTGTTACTAGTAAAATGGTCCAAAACGATGGGAAATTCTCATAATATATTCATATAAGTATGCAATGGTGAAAAAAGTGAGCCGAGCCAGAACGGGGGCAAAAAAGCATTCCATACACGACTAGAGGGAGATGTGTGTAAAATGTTCACTGTGCAATGCATTGTGGTTATAGCCATAGTGTCGCGCGCGTCCATTCTGAGAGAGTGCAATTTGTATTGTAGCAAGCAGTAGCAAGCGATAGAAAAAAATTCACGAAAAAATGTGTTGAATACATAAATCAGTTCGAAACAAATGCGGTTGACACAATTCAACTGTTTTCATATGCTTTTATATTTTCATTTCAGCTGATTATGTCGTCGATATTTGTCGTCAGCAAAGGATACCATGGACAATGTTGAGCCAAACACAAACAACAAGGTCCAGAGCACAAAGTAGCACGAGCATGTCATTAAAGTATTGCACATTTTTAGCAAAAGCAACAGCATGTCGAATAAACATTAGAAACAATGAACGATGTCCACCGGCTGCTGTTCGAAATTTAAAGACAAGTCTGGAAAAATCAAAACGTTTACGATATTTCTCATCAATAAAGAAAACGCATACCAGTGAAAAGTGATTTCAGTTCCATCGTCCATTGTGTGTTGGAAAAGCGAGAAAGATCAAAGACTGTTCGATTGTCCTTGGGCATTGACTATTAGAAGGTCTTAGTATGGAGCTCAAATAAAATTAAACACACAGAGATTTCGATTTGATTTTTTTCAATTTATTGATTTTTTTTAACAAATTTCTCTTAAATCTATCAAACACATTTCAATGCTCAATCAATTCCACTTCAATATTGGATGGGAGTATATTGAGGCGTATTGGGTGATGCACGGCATCTTATTGAAAGAATTCCTTCTGGTGATAGGCCTGATACGAGATTGTCTGCAGAGAATCCTGCTGGCAAATTAAAATGTTGATCGACCTTTCGTCGAATGTATTTGATTGGATAGCCAGGTGCCCGTTCTTCATGTTGAGCGAAAATGGACACAATGTTGTTGTTGACTTTCACTGAGATTTCTTCGGGTGCGAAAAATTTGCAATCAACGAGGTATTCAAAACCATCTTTGGTAATTTGTGGTTTTTGAATCTGGCTATTATAGAAATCGTTCCCGTATGGTGCAACCGACATGTTTACGAAATTTTTTTATACTTTTCACACAAAAATTCACTTAATTTTTTTCGCAAACAAGATATTATTCCTTCGACACTGTTTGTTTCGTTATGATTTTTCCTTGACTGACGAACGCGATGGTTCGCCTCTACTATTTATAAACCACACAAAGTTTCGCTGTTTTGATGAGAAAAATTAAATCATTTCTTCGAACGTGCAAGGAATTAGACGCCAACACACAATCGAATATTAGAAATTTCACTGTGATTTCTTATTTTTCTTTGACTTCGGTATTGAATACGTTATGTTTGTACAGCTCGCTACAGCTGATCAATAGAATCACTCATATTGACCTCTATATCGTGTGTGTGTGTGTGTATAATTCTTTATTTTTATTCTTTCATTAACGCACTCAAAAGACACTGTATATTTTTAGAATTTTTGCTTACTTGACGGCCTCTTTGGAATATTTAAAATAAGTTCACAATAACATGTAAGCGGTTCTATTTTAATATCATGTTTATCCTACAACAAATTTTGTGGATCTGTGTGAATCGCAACAATTTTTGTGGACTTAGTGAATTCTTTGCTCATCGGTATAAATTTGATAACTCGATAGTTCTACTGAACGTCTTTACGGTATAATTTCTAGTTGCTGGCAATTGACTGAAATTGATTTTACTTTGCACTGGGTATTTTTTCACAAAAACTAATATTCTGAAGGTTTGAAGGAATTTCAACGAAAATTATCTCTAATTTTTAATTGATAATGCTTCAAATTTGTTGAGATTTTGGTAAAAAAATAAAATTTCACAAGTTTTTACGGTGATTAAGTGACTGCCGGACATACATTTTGGGAAGAAATCGAATGAATTTCGAGTCAATAAATCAATATTTGTTGTAACTTAATCACGAAAGTGTCCAATATGAAATACTTTGATTTTAGCCGAAAGCGTTCGATATTTGAATCACAAAGAATAAATCAACATTACTAGATAAATGTCTTCAAATGCGTTACTGAAAAAAGTCAGTCAGCAAAAGCGTTATAAAATATATGGACGATGTTACGCTTTTGTTGGCGAACTTTTTTATATAACGCGTCACATACAGTTTTTGACACTATTGCTGACGTACTTTTTTATATAACGCATTTGAAGACATTTATCTAGTAATGCTGATTTATTCTAGACGGTTCATTTATGAATTGGGCTACAGCGCTTTCCTCCTTCTCATTGTTCTCCTCCTCAGAGAAGCAATCCTGAACAAAAAAAGGAACAAATGACCTTGTGATCGGATTAGATAAGTAAAACATCCATCGAGCCACGAATCGAACACATGCTCATAAGGGTCACGCATCAAACTGACGGACCCAGTATTAAATGAAGACAACAAAACGGCCCAGATACCGGATTTCAATGTGAACGGAAAAGCAAACAATATCAATTATATAGTTCGCTCGAGACGACTACGCTCGCACGCTGCAATTCACTTTAGACTTTGTCTAAACAATTGCAACAGAGCACAGAAGAAAAACGAAATGTCCACTTAAAACAATTGCACATTGTGGAGCACTTTCGGTTTTTTTGTTGCTTCGACCACACTTGTCTTTAACTCTGTCACATTTAATGTGCCATTCTGATCTCGTCTCTCTGCATTCGCTCACATTGGAAAAAGCTTTTAATTTCAATGCGACCGAAATGGATTCAACTACCACAGTTTTTCGCGAAAAGTTTCGCAATTTAGTTTTATGTGCGCGCCATTGCCTACATATTCAAGAAAAACTCTTGTTGGCTAGAGTTCTCTTCACCACCACCCCCTCCAAAGTCTGATTCTCTCTGTCTAAGTTTTTTCGATTGAAAAAAAAACGTTCCGACCATCAATTCACGTATTTTTTTCTTGTTCCGCGATATACAGTACGTTTTTTTTATATAGAGTCATCGATTTTTTAGACAAACATTTCAAATATTCTAAAAAAAATGTTAGTGTCGCTAGATGGCACTCTAAGCTACGGCGCATAACAAATTTGACACTTCTCAAATCAGTACAGTGTTATGTGTACATGTTTATGGTTGCTTCTGTGAAGCTGGTTTTGGAAAGTTGACCGTATTCACGGGCATTCTAAACGCCATGAGGATGAACCAACTTTATGCATCGACACTGTTACCCACCGCCAAGAAGTTCTATGGCATCGGTAATTCGAATTGGCTTCTACTAGAAGATAATGATCCAAAACACAAGAGTCGTCTCTGCACCGCTTGGAAAGAGGAAAATGGAATAAAACAAATGGACTGGCCGCCACAGTCACCCGATTGCAATCCGATCGAAAATGTTTGGGCCTTAATTTAAGGCAAGGCTTCGTGGTAAAACACACCGCAATTTGAAGCAGCTCAGTCCATTCATTCAACGCCAGTGGAAAGGTTTTCAACGCGAATATGCTGAAAATTTGAGCAAAAGTATGCCGAATAGATGTGCCCGTGTGATCGAGAAGGCAGGAGAATGGATTAAATAAAATGTCTAACATCCGTAAGATGAACTTTTTCGCACTGTGATCCACAACATGCATTTATTACCCTAAATATGAATTCATGAGAAAACTGAATCTGATATAAGTTTTGCGATACCAATAATTTTTGATAGACTTTTCAATGCCTGTATGATATCGTAATCATGTGAAAATTTACAGAGGTTATTTTTTGGTACCTTCCATACAAAATTTTCGTTTTTGAGCAAAAAATCCAAAATTTTGTTCGAGAGGTACCCCTATTATGCATTGAAATCTCTTTAAACCCTCGGAATGTTATTTTTGTGTGAAAAAAATGACTTGTGCAAAGTTTCAGCTCATTACGATATCATACAGGCATGGCTTCCACACAAAAATACAATTTTTTGGACATTTTTGTATGAAAGGTGTGTCGAAAGTTATTTGTATCACAAAACTAATGTCATATTCGGTTTTATGGTACCAAAAAACCCCCCAATACATATTTTTGAGTGTTTAAGAATACATTAAATATCACTTTTGGAGGAAAAATTGAATTTTTTCCATGGATGCCCATGGGCATCACACCAGACATTACACTTCACTCTATCAACCAAAGTAGCTCAAAATCTAATGGTTTCTATTCCTCGGCACCCCCAATCATCCTGTGAAATCAGATTTTGAATTACTTTTCTTGTTTGAAAGTTATCGTGTTAACAAATTTTTGCACATACATTCGGACATCGAAAAAACGCTAGATTCGTGTTTCCTGGCCCCAAAAACACCCAGAAAACACATTTTTGATGGGTGTTAATTTTTCGACCAATTCCAATACTTTACCTTACACACTAGGTGTGTGCGGAAAAGTAATATTGATTGTGTGCGCCGTAGCTTAGATACTAAATATGTTAAAATGTATATAAAATAATTTTGCAAAACTTCTGTGTTTTTGTCTGAAAAATCGATGACTCTATATAAAAAAACGTACTGTAAATTCCCATCCGCCTTTTATTTACACAATTTTAATAGTGACCGCTTATTATTATGATTTTTTTCTGTTGCTATTCCAGTTGAAATAAGCGTATTAAACGGTTTGTAAAATTCGCATTCAACAACATTACACAAGACCATTTACCATAGTTGGAAAACATTTGAATTTCACCTCCGATTCAAATTCGTTCTGTTTTTTTCGTCGTCGGAACGGTTTTTTTTCTTTCATAATTCATTCTGTGTTTGTTTTTGCGCCTGAATTTGGTGCACTTTTTTCTTCTTGCAAATTTTTTATCGAATTCTTGTGAAACGATTTGATGAATGCACCACGAATATTGGTGTTGCATTGTGTTATATATATTTTAAGTAATGTTCAACAAAAATCCGGCTTCGAAACATTGATAAATTTCCCGTTAACAAGGGATTTTACCATCTCATAATGACGCCAATTGAATCAAAGCACAATAACCACGTACAAAAAAACGAAAACAACAACAAAACTAACGGATGGCAAGGATTCGCACAATTTTCAATGCAGCGCAGATGAAAACATCATGTTTTTGCAAAAATGTTAACGATACATGCACACATCTTATTCACTCTCTCTTTTTCCATCTCTATCTCTCTCACTCTCTCGCACTGAATTCCAGTTCGTGATTTATGACCATTGGATAATAATAATGTACTTTCTGTGGTTTTCGCTCCAATCCACAGACTCACCACTCTATGTCGCATTTTCAACGTATATACAGAGAATTTTGCTGATTCATTTCATCTACATGCCGGATATAAGTTTGCTCACAGCTGTTTTAACAGTAAACAACGAACCATCTCTACCCATATAATATCAAATTGAATGTCTTTTGAAAGTAGCAAAAAAACACACAGTTCGGTGTTTGGTTTGAAATTCCATGAATCTAAATTAGAATTTTATAATTGCTGCCAGAAGTGCTGAATAATCAAATTGAAAATGTGCGTCGACTTTGATAATAAAGTGTTTAAATTCGAATTTGAGGCTACTTTGCACACGACCCTCATTATCCAATTTTAAACTGGAGCAGCATACAAAATATGGATTTGAACTCGGAATTGGAGATCTCGCTTTATTAGAAATTGTAAAAAAAAAACTTCTTTTAATGTTGCACTGAATTTGATCAGTATCTATCCGAATTTATCCCCGAGAAATTCCCAATCATACCCGAGAAATTGCAGAGACATACTTCCAAATTGATAATAATAAAAAAAAATGTTGAGTTGCGAATGATTATGCGCGACTTGCGCTCAAGTATTAAAATTAAATGACTTTAAAGATTTAACTGATTGTTTTTATTCTTCCAAATGTTTTGTGGGGAAAATAACCAGAATATGTTGTTGTTTCAGCGCTTTTCGATTGGAGTCTCTAAGTTCCCATGATGAAGAGCATTTTTGCTAATTTTTTTAGTGTAGGGAATTCATTCATTTTCTGCGTTTCAATTTCGAAGGCATGAATCTTATAATGAATAAAGCGGTTAATCATCCCGAACGTGTTATCAATTCTCATCCATTAATAAAGTTCTATTATTAGTTGCGAATCATTTGTTATATATGTTGATGTTGGCATAGTTCCATTAAAAAAAATATATCATTTCCCTACACTATAAAATGCATTTTTTCGTAAAAGAATATTGATCGATTTTCGGTGGTAAATTAGAAAGCTATTAGTTTTATTCAAAAAAAAAAAGAAATTAACATTTGAAATAGAACGAGTTTTAATTGTGCAAATATTGATTTTCATAGATTTCTTCATTCAAATGGACACTTTTCAAATATTTTGCATTCAGTTTTATTGGAATTCACCGGAAATGTTTCTCTTTTCAATCGATTTTCGTACGTAATTGTCTGTGCAAGAATAAATAATCGGCAGACAAGTATAATCGAACATCACATTAATAAGGTCATCATGAAAATCTACGATAACCTTTGTCGGTGCACTATATGATGATCGTTTTGTGAAATAATATTGTTCTCAGCACGTTTCTTTTTTTTCATATAATTATATCGACGTTTTCTATCAGAATGAATCTCATGAATGAATTAGAGAGAAAATAAAGATTAAAACAACATTGAAATAAAGTATTTCCTTTGCAAATATGCCAAATTATCAAAGCAATTGATTTTTTTTCAAAAAGATCCGAATATTTTGGTGCAATATAGCAAGAAATATGAATGAAATGGTCAATCAATTCAGAATTTTGATAATTACCATCGTTTTGGGCTCAAATTTGAATGATTCGCAACCGAAAACAATTTATCGTTAATCGAAAATATCACCACGTGAAAATTGAGACAATGAAATTCATGTTTTTTATTGAAAACATTCATCAAAGTTGAAATTATAGACACATTAGCGCCATCTATTCAAAATAGTGTGCAAAAGAATTGTACTTGCTTTGTTGTTTACAATTTGAATTTATAGAGTGCACGACGGTAGATTTATGACAGCTACAATTATTTGTAACAGAGTCATTAGTCTAACAATCATTAATGCTTAAGTGTCAAAGTCATGATACGAGAGTAAACCAAAACAAATCATATCAAATGTGAATCAAGTGTTGTTGAAGCAACTAAAAAATAACAGCCATTGAAATGAGTTCCGAATCGCAAAATACAGTAGAAAATTCCGATTTTTTGTCATTCAACACAAATCGAACGAATGATGATGGCAAAAATAATCGAAATAATTTCCAATATCGGCCGTACAATCGGAATCGAAACCAGCGAAATCCAAATTTCCGACACAATCAATACATGGGCGGTCCAAATGAAGGCGATCCACAATTTTCACCAGCCAATTTCAGTAGTCCGGTTAGTGGTTATCAGCATCGAGGTTTTCGGCCACATCACATGAATCAGTTTCCAAATCAACGCAATTTCACACCATACAAAGTAAGTTAAGACACATTGTTTGGCGCGCGCTCATTTTATTTATTTATTTATTTTTTTGTTTTGTAGAAATTTGGAGGTAATCATCATCGCGGTGGTGGTGGTGGCGGCCATGGTTCGCCAAGAGATATACCGATCCAGCAATATTTTCATAAGACCATGCTCGAAGATCCATGGGCTGATTGCCATAAATTCAATGGTACAGCAAACGAAACTAACTGTCAAACTGAACCCGTACCGACTGAATTAACCGTAGAAACTTGAGCATTTTTTGTGTATGGAATAAAACTCTTTTTCTGATAAACAATGTCTTTTATTTACATTTTTTACGTGTTTTTTGTTGAATTACATTCATTCATCATCTTTTAAAGGCTTAATTTTCATTAAAAAATTTCATAATACCGTCGACGGCATTGTTTAAAGCTTTGGTCGCATCGGAGTTGGCATATTCTTCGATAAAATTTGTGCCTTGATCACAGGCCCGTGTTATTTGTGGATCAAGTGGTAATTGGGCCAATAAATCAATATTCATGTCGTTGCACATTTGTGCAGCGCCACCAGTTGTTGCTGGAAAAATGTCCGATTTAACGGTGCACTTTGGGCATACAAAACCTTTCATATTTTCAATGACACCAACAATTGGCATTTTAACCTTTTTACAAAAATTAATCTCCTTCCGCACGTCCAACAATGAAATCTCTTGTGGTGTGGTGACCACAACGGCACCCCAATTCCCGGTTTCACTCAGATAATTAATGGCGGCCAAATGTTCGTCAGATGTACCAGGCGGTGTGTCGACGATCAAACAATCCAATTTTCCCCAATCCACTTCGCTCAAAAATTGACGAATCTATTATTTGATTAAAAAAAAAAAAAAAAAAAGTCAATGACAATTTTCAAAAAGATTCCTTTTGTTACAAACCATTCCATTTTTCTTTGGTCCTCGCCAAATAATGGCCTCATCTTGGCTACCAAGTAAAAATCCAATCGACATCAATGATAGATTATCGTCAATGTAAACCGGTGACCAACCCGAACCGGACTGATGAATTTGTTCATTCAAAACGCCGAACATTCGTGGCTGTGATGGGCCACAAATGTCAATGTCCAACACAGCAAAATTCTTTTCGGGATATCGTAGTGCAATGGAACGAGCCAACATTGATGTGACCGTACTTTTACCGACACCACCTTTGCCCGACACTACAAGCAATTTATTTTTCACTTCAGCTAGTCGTTGTTTTACCAATTCAATGGCTGGATCGGGTCCTTTTGTTGCGCCCGATGCGCACACATTTTGATTCGGACAACCGGCACATGCCGATGATTTACCAGCATCATCACTTTGTGTACCCGGACAATGTTCAGCTGCATTCTCTGGAATGTCTGACATATTTTTTTATTTTGAATATTTTCACAATTCAATTCGATATTTTGATTGTTATTTCGTTCTTTTTTTGCAATCTTTAAATGAACAATTCAATTGATACTACTATTGAACAACAATGACAATGGAATTTTTTTCCTCAATACGATAGTGCTTGAAATGGTCTGTGTTTAAAAATGTGTGATTTTGCTCTGCTTACATATCTAATCAAAAGACATATATACACGCGCGCTATCTCTCGTATTCGATTGTAAACCGCAACCAACTGTCAACAAAATCACAGAGATAATTATGAAAAAAAGTGAATATGGACACACATGCACACACACACACCCATTTACAGTGATTGTAAGACTCAGTGCATATAATGTCAAAGTGATGTGTTCACATTGGAAACGAAATGATAGAATGTTTCTCCTGCATATATTGTGTATACAAATGGCTGTGCAACAGAGCGAGATAGAGTAAGAACAGTGGCGACACACGAACAACGACGAATCTCTCCAATTTGTCATTTATGGTTCACTGTATAGTAAGTGTATATTGTTTTTGACGTGGTGCTTTTCCTTCATTCTATTGACTTTTCTTGTGTAGTGCTACCAAAAAAAATTATTTTTTTTTGCTGTAATCGATCAATTTTAATTTATTTTTTAGTTTTTTCAACATTAAAAAATGAAGTGATTTGAATTGAGACCATTTACATTCACCTTCAATTGAGATCATATTTTCATTTCTGGACATTCAATTTATCGTAGTGTGTATATTGTTGAAAATTATCGGATCATTTTTGACAAGACAGTGCTCGATAGATAAAAAAAATATCGACGGCACTGAAACCGGCCGACGACAAACGACCACGATAGTGAATATTGAGGTGAGACTCATTCAACAATCGAAATCGAATTAAAATCATTTGGTTCATGTGTCGGCGTAATGTGTCCCTTTTTTGTTTCTTATCACATTGTTTCAAGTGCACGCGCTTCAAAAGCAATTTCAACTATTTCTTGCTCACTGAATGAGTATCCACATTTTCCGATTGCATTTCATTAGACACAATTCCAATTCATGCAATGCATTTTTTTTTCTTTTGAATTGGTTTGTCTTTAATGAGTGTATTCCTTTTTTATTAAAAAAATGTGTCAAAATTCTTTTCTATATGTGTCAGCGATAATTGTGTAATGAAAGGAACATTGATTGAAATGTAAAACAAAACCCAATGTACAATTAGCATGTTTCAATTATAACGAATGTTGTTGAATTGCTTGTGTCTCAGTTGAGTGTACATGTATGTGTGCGTGTGCTTGTTAGATTTTGTGATATCCTAACAGAAAGACCATAATCGTGATTCATAAATGTTTGATTAAAATCGTTTCTTCTATTTTTTTTTTTATTACAGGTTTGACATTTAAACACACAAACACAAAATAAATTGTCGTTAAAAATTACAACTTGCCGAAACTGTCATCGTTTGCGGAAATTGGCCACATGATTTAAATGTACTCGATAACAAAAAAATTGATGACTGAAAGTGAAAAACCATATTAAAGGTCTTTGTGGATTTCATTTCGTGTATGCAAAAACAAATCAAAACAGATAAATTAGCAACAAATATTGAGTGATAGAGAGAGAGAGACATACACACATACCATCGTTTGAAAAATGATGAACGAAGAGTCAACGACACCATCGCGTAATCCGATTTCAGTGTTTTTTCAACGTTTCTCACAGGTTTATATCTTTTACTGACATCAATTTTTTTCCGAAGGGTTTTCACTTATTTTGAGAGAGATTGTGTGACACGCGTGTGGCTCTATTGGCAATGATGACAGCTGCCGTTTGGATTCACATATGTTTGTTTGGTGATTGATCCAATTCGGCCGCGATAAACAATAAATATATTTCTATGCCTGTCAAAGTGTTTGTGCATATACATACACAATGTAATGACAGCAAATCTTATTAACCAATATTTTAACTTTGAAAAAAATGTCACACACACACACTCTCACTCCGTTTTACTCTTCATTCCCAATTAATCTTCTTCTCTCGGTATCTTCAATAGATTTATCAAGGATTGCTAGATAAATGGACACCACACACTAAAGTGCGATGGGTAGCTGCCGGTGTGCTAGTATGTTTGTTTTTGTTACGTGTATTCCTCTGCCAAGGATGGTATATTGTATGTTATGCATTGGGCATATATCATTTAAATTTGTTCATAGCATTTCTAACGCCAAAGATCGATCCAGCGCTTGATCTAGATGGTTTGTATTGATTTTTTCTTTCTGTTTCTTTTTTTAATTTCGGTTTGTTTTTCTACAACAACCATTGTTCCATTTGACGTTCGGTCTATTTATTTTCTTTCGTCAAAAATGATTGTATCAATTTGTTAACTTGTTTTTCGTGATTTCAATCCATTAAATTTATTTTTGTATGCATGTTTTTCATTTTCTGTATGGGATTTTTTTGTTCACATTATTTGTTTTTATGTCAACTTGAAAAAATGTACATAACTAAATGTGGTTGTTTTTTTTCGAATCTCGATTTTATTGAACAGATGATCAAGGACCCGAATTGCCAACGCGATCAAATCAAGAGTTTCGACCGTTTATTCGGCGATTACCTGAATTTAAATTTTGGTATGCCATCTCGAAGAGCACCGTCATCGGTATTATCTGTACGTTTTTCGAAGTGTTCAACATTCCGGTATTTTGGCCAATTCTTGTCATGTACTTTATCACACTGTTTTGCATAACAATGAAACGGCAAATTAAAGTAAGTATACCAACTAATCAGAGTCTGAGCGCATTTTTACAAAGATTGAACGAATTTAAAAAAAATGTTTTTAATTTCAGCATATGATCAAATATAAATATATCCCATTCACGTTAAATAAACCGCGATATCAAAGTGTACCTCAAACCAATTGACAATTAAAAGCACAAACGCTGTCACCCGTAAACAACACATCGTCGCCTACAACATCAACAATAACCGTGACTACTGCAGTAGCACTACCACCACCATCAACGGTTGTTATTGATGGAGCATCTAATAATGCAAATCACATAACCGATATCTAACAAACTAAAATCTCAATACCAGGGACTAATTTGAACAACAAAAAAACATCAATCAACAATCACCACAACCACCACCACAACAACAACAAAAAGAAGAACGACAACATAGTCCACGAACAACAATGTCAAAAAGGGAATAAAAATCAATCAGTGAATGGAGTAATTCGGAATGCAGTAAATTTCTTTGAAAATGAAAGACGTCTACTCAATTATCGAACCATAACTGTGAAACAGTTTACTTTGAATTTGATAGATATTTGACTAATTCAGTTTTTTTTCTCTTAATTTTCTTTCACTCTTAGTCTCTTTAATTTTTTTAACTTATGTTTGCTTTCGTTTCCTATCATTTATTTTTTGTTGTTTAACAATAGGTGCTAGCTTATTAGTTAACCCGTTCTCTTAGCTCCTTGATCATTATTTCGATATCTGATTTATGTTGTGCGACTACCGACAGCCTTCATTTGTGCTTACCATGTGAAAAGACCCCATATTAAAAAAAAAATACAATTAATTACTATTATTATTGTTATTATTATTATTATTTCATTTTTTATTTTCGTTTGCGCCGAGAAGAGATTGCTGGACGAAACAGTGACACTAGTGGATTTCTTATTGTTCCGATTCATTGAAACAGATGTGACAATGAACCGAATGAATTTATGGTCCAACCATATGCTCATAGAATCGTTAACTATTACCAAAAAAAATCAAATCACTTCAATAGCATCAATTGTATTTTCGATTCATTTCCCCAAAATAAACAAATTGTCCAACCAAATATTTTTACATATTCGCCGGAATTGCATGTGTATGTGTACGTGTCTTACAGAGGGAATCATTCACACATCTTTTGAACCATTGTTGAGAACAAAATTAATTTCACTCCGAAAATTTGTCCAATTGAAATAGAATCACGGCACACGAGCTATGTGCAAAAAAATTATTCAAAAAAACAAGTCGGTTAATCATCGAACCACCAAAGTATTGAAGCACAGTATTTCGCAAAGCGAATTTGAAAATTTTTTCTTAAAGAAAAAATCAGAAATGTGCATCAAAAAATGTCCGAATAGAAAAATATCCGGAACTGATAAAAAATATACACGAAAAAAGTTCTATGATCAACTAATATCTCTTTCACACACACACATATATATATATATATATACACGCAATGGTTCACAAAATGTGTGATATAATTACATGCCTAAAAACAAGAATTGTAGCATTTAACTATTTAAAGAAGAAAAAATGAAGAAAAATAAACTGAAATTTGAATGTCACATTCAATGATCAATTGTCCGATTGCTTTTATACCTAAGGAAATGTGACCTTCAAATTGCATATTTGAACAAAATAATAAAAAAAAACAATTTTTCTTTTCATCATCAACGATTCCGAGTCGATAAGAGAGAAATAAAGCCCGTGTTTATCTCTTGGCAAACATGTAAAAATCACCGGTTTAATGTAGTAGAACTAAAATGTAATGATCATTAGATATATTTAAAGAATAAATGAATGAAATGATTATTTATAAATAAAAGTTCTAATCCGAAAAACTGATACCAATTGATTCGATTGTTTTATTTTTTTCATATTTATAAAAATATCGTTTTTTCCTCTTTCATTTTTTTCTTTAAAAAAAGGTTTGGAAGTTGGATAAAAAGTTGTATTAAAAAAATTGTCTACCCTTCCAATTTCCATCTCTCCAAATCGGAACAACGTTTACCGTTCTCATGTTTAATATAAAAAAAAAATCAATCCAAACCACAACGGACCGTATTTGATTTGTACGAACTTCACATCGCACACATACCAATATGACAGATGACTCTAAACTGTCAAACATTTGAAGATTTATTTATTTCTTCATTCGTAAACGTTTATAAAGCATTTTTGTTTGATATTTTTGTGTTTGATTGGAGAAATTATGTTTAAAAAGGTGGAAAACAAAGCGAAATTCTCGCGAAAGCGACAACACAGTTCATCCGAATCTGGTAGGTTGCATTTTTTCGAATTTCTTTGTAAAAACTTTAAAAAGAAGAGACATTATTAACTTATTTACTAATTATTCTTGCAGGTTCTGAAAGCGAACCAGACACGGCTGTGGTACGGGCAAAAGCGCACAAACAAAAATCCAATCCAAATATTCAAAAGACGGCAACGAAAGCGGTGCGAAAAGGTCGCCAGCCAGCCGATTCAACGTCATCATCGAGCAGTGATGAAGCAGAAAAGGTGACCGTTTCGTATAAATCGACGAGAACGAGCACAATTGATGGGCCTAGCGATCAAGGTGCAACAGCAACCGTTGAAATTGACACGGAAATCGATCGAGATGCACAGGCCATTTATCAAAAAAGTATCGAAATCAATAAAGAACTTGAGGGAAAGGCCGACGATAAAATTTACCGTGGTTTAAACAATTATGCACAATATATTAAGAAAAAGGATTCGGTTCTTGGCAATGCTAGTTCAGGAATGGTGCGCAAAGGACCAATTCGAGCACCGGCACATTTACGAGCCACCGTTCGATGGGATTATCAACCGGATATTTGTAAAGATTATAAAGAGACGGGCTTCTGTGGTTTCGGTGACAGTTGTAAATTTTTGCACGATCGTAGCGATTATAAACACGGTTGGCAAATGGAACAAGAGCATACAGGCGGCTCACATGGATGCGATTCAGACGGCGATGACACCAAATACGAAATTCATTCAGATGACGAAGATTTACCCTTCAAGTGTTTTATATGTAGAGAGAGTTTCGTCGACCCCATTGTTACGAAGTGAGTTGAAATTATCTTTTCAATTTGAATGTTAGATTACTCAATTTAATAACTTTCTTTCCTTTTTTAGATGCAAACACTATTTTTGTGAAAAATGTGCACTAAATCACTACAAAAAGTCAACCAGGTGCTTCGTATGCTCCGTCCAAACGAATGGCGTGTTCAATCCAGCCAAAGAACTCATTGCAAAACTTAAAGCCGACCAAGAAGAAGCTGAAATACATAGTAACTCTGATAGCGATTGAATCATTCACGAATTGATTGAAGTGCTTAAATAATTTTTTTTAATATAATCAATGAGATATAAACAAGTTCTTGTCTTTTTTCTATTTCTCGATGCATTTACTTCGATGCTGCTCCATTGTTCGATTTAGATAAAAAGTTGTTATAATAAGGAAATTTTCGCGTATAAATAACGAAAATTCGATTTTTCTCAATTTATAAATTCCAAATTCGTCACTAAAAAGTTATAAAATCTTTAAATTTCTGTAAAAAGGCGAATAATAAAAACAGAAACACATTATTATTGACAAACAGGCACGTTTATTATAAATAAATTTTCATATAAATAAAAATAATAATTTTTGATTAACCCGAATCTTCCTTCTGATTTAGTGGTAGAGCTAAATCACAACCGTTAAATATACAATGTGATCAAGAATGATGTTGTGATATTGATTTATTATTTCAATTTCAACAATATAAAACAGTAAAATTGTAATAAAAGCACCATTTATAGTTTTTTTCTAGAAAATGTTTGAAAAATTGTGAAATATTAACTAAATGCAAAAAAATTCGGACAATCCGGGTTAAATATTCATCAAAAATTCCACATTCGATCGATCGAAAGATGTACTAAATAAATAATGAGAAAGAAAAAAAACCAGTGAAAATATGAAATAAATGATAAGGCGTGTGTTATTTATTCTAATGGGTCTATATTTAATTTTCTTCTTTTTGTTGTTGCATGAATTCAAAGCCAATTCGGAAGAAGATGATACAAGTTTTCAGCGTTTATTTATGATAGATTCTCATTTAGTGACAAAGACATAAAAAGTGTGTAAACATTTTTAGCACGATTTTAGCGATTTTCGTTTGCTTAATGCCTAGAGTATGAAATACATGAGATTCGTCTCTGAAAAAACTTGAAATTCAAAAAAAAAATTATGAAAAACTCGAGCTGCGACCGAAATTCAATCGTCGTCATCATTGCCGTTGGTGTTCTTGGTGACAATGATGGGCATGTGACTGTTATCGGGTAACATTGCGTGTTCGATTAAAAATCCTTCAACATCGGATGCAAAAAATTCATCGCCGCCCAACTCGTCTGACAAACGAACAAAATTCCCGATTAAATTTCCACTTTTATACACTAACAATGCGGGAATGCCACCGATTTTAAAGTTTGCACTCATACCAGCTGCCGAACCGGCAATTTTACAAAATTTCACCCGTTTATAATTTTGTGCTAATTCATCGAGACAACGGTTCATCGTTTTGCATGCCAACAATTTATTTTCGTAAATGTGAATGATTATCGGGACGGATTTATCTTCATTATCGATTGCATTTAAAAATGCATCACCATTGACCAATGAAATCACTGAACCGAATACTTTTTCTTGTTTTCCACATCGTTCGAGCATTTCACGCATACGTTGCTGTTGAAATTGCAATAAAATACTGTCATCATTCATTAGTTCCGCCAATTCGGCATCCAGCTCATCCTGTTCGGTTTGTTGACCATCTTCGGCTACCGTTTTGGTTGTAATGCATAATTTCTTCATGAGCGCCAATTTTTCGGTTTCTTTTTCATTATTTTTTTCCGTTTCTAATTGCTTGAAGCGTTGCCAGTCTTTGATTACACCTTTTGGACCGGTATTTGTTGAACTGCCCGACCATTTGTCGGTTTCACGCGTGAAATACGTTTGATTCGGCTCATGCGATGCGGATAATGATTGTGCACCAGCCGTTGTCGGTGATCCATCAGCACTTTCATATTGATCGTCATCGCCTTCACCCTCATCCGAACTACAATAATTCTGCCGTTTATCATCACCCAATATTTTATCCTCAAGCGTTGCCATTGCGTCTTTCTTTTGCACTCTGCTTTCTTTGAATGAGAGTAATCGATATATTTATAACTATATAAATCAGACACTCACAAAACTTTAATTAAACGATGGAATTTTTACTAACCTTAATTTAATTTACAACACTGACGAATGCGATTGATTTGTTACTCGATGTTTCAATTGCTTTGCGGGAAATAATACAGAAACCGATGGAATGATCAAAATAAAAAAACGTCGAATTAAAATCACGATTTGTTTATATTTGGCAGTCGTCGTTTCTTTTCTTCTTTCTTCTCTCCGTTCACACTTGCAACACACGATTCCCTCTCTATTTCACTGCCTGTGTGTGTGTGTGTATGTGTGTGCATTCCGCTTGTTTTCATCTCGCTAGCTTACTGTACTGCTCGAATATTTTCATAGAGGGCCGTACAATCGAAACGTATGCGATTAAATATAGTGCTGCCATCTAAAACTAATGATGTAACTTGATTGAAAAAAAAATTTTTTTTTGCTTATTTTTGAATAACACATTTTATTTCCCTTGGAATACAAGACTATACATATTTACAAAGTAAACTTTACTTTGGTATATCGTTTTTGGTTTGTTGGTATTTTTGTCGCTTCTTTAGAATGCTTGTGATGAAAAATTCGCCCGCCTTATAGGAACTACGAACCAGCGGACCGCTGGCTGTATAAAGAAATCCAAGATCATTGCCTTTCAATTCCCAATGCTTGAATTTAGTTGGTTCCACATATTCTATAACTTTGAGATGTCGCGTTGTTGGCTGCATATATTGGCCCAATGTCAAACAGTCCACCTCAACGCTGCGTAAATCGTTCATTGTTTGTTCGATTTCTTCGTCGGTTTCACCCAAACCCAGCATTATTGATGATTTTGTTACTAAATTTGGATTGATTTGTTTTGCTTCCTTCAGAACGCTCAATGTTTGACGATACGCAGCACGTCGATCACGAACAAATGGCGTTAGTTTTTCCACTGTTTCGATATTGTGTGCAAACACATCAATGCCGGACTCGGCAATCAAACGAATTGAATTGATATCGCCACGAAAATCTGGCGACAAACATTCAACGAAAATTCGAGGATTTCTAGTGAAAGAAAATGAAATTAGACGAGAAATAAAGGTTCTACATTTTCTTCACTTACTGTCTTTTAATTTCTTTGATGCACTCGGCGATGTGATTGGCGCCGCCATCGGGCAAATCATCACGATCGACTGATGTCAAAACGATATAGTCAAGACCCCACGATGCAATTGCTGAAGCGGTATTTGTTGGTTCATTTGGATCTAATGGTGGTGGTTTTCGGGCTGTTTTCACTGAACAAAATCGACAGCCTCGTGTGCATGTATCGCCCATTAACTGAAAATAAAGTCAATCATTTAAATTCTCGAAGAATTCATCAATTTTCGCATCGATCACTATTTTTTTACATTCGACCTTGAAATAAATATATGTTTGTTCGAAGTAAACATGTTATTCCGATTATATGTGCATGTAATACATGTTGCCTTATCATGCATCCTTTCACACACACACAAATCCAACTTACGTACACCCCGAATGGATGTGTATTGACAATTCAAATGCGATTATATAATCATTTGAATCTGAATGTAAAATGAATGAAAAAAAACATTTCCAATGTCATACCATAATTGTAGCCGTTTGTGTGCCATGTTCACCGCCGCCCCAGCATTCGCCAATATTTGGACATCGAGCCTCTTCGCAAACGGTGGCCAATTTAAGATCACGTAATTGTGATTTGATTTTATTGAAATTGGCGCCAATCGGAATCTCTTTTTTCAACCATGGTGGCAATCGTAAACGTTTCTCATCGCCTTTTTCACGTTTCAATTTTCCTTCATAATCCCAATCGTCACGAAGATCATCCGAATCTTGTACAAAATCCTGAAATGTTGGTCCATTCGCTAAACGCTCACGGATTTTCTCCAATTTACTACTCGAACTACAATGCTTTTTTGAATAAACAATTTCAAATATTTTGAATGGAAAAATTTTCACAATAATTTAAAATTTCTTACACATACTCTGACTAGATTCAATTGACCCGTTGATAGACTTTTCTTTAACATTTTTACACAATCTAATGTTGTTTTTCTCAATTGAAATGCGACTAAATTTTTTTGATATTATTTATCAGAAAAGTGTTTGAGCACGAGCTAATCAGTGTATATTTGTGTTTATGGATGTGTGTGTGTATGTCGTATGTCATGCAAGACAATTGACATTTCGAAAATCACACAACAATTTACCTGACCGTTGGATGATATGTATGTGTATATGTGTGCAAGAGAATTGAGCAACTCAATCGGTGACATCTATTGGTATATCGTATAAAGTGACTGAGATGAGCCATTCAAATTCAAAGTTTGTACAGACAATTTTTAATGGTTTTTCCCAACTCTTTTATTCCCAACATTTCAAGATTCTTTCCTCTAAAAATCCTTTGTAATCCAAAAAACAGTACCAATTACCCATGAAATCATTGGAATGTTTGACAGGCGCCTTATTCATGGTTGCCATAACAATACGTCATCGATGTATTGTCAATGTCTGTGTTTCTTCTACCTGCGTCGTTTCGTCAGTGATTCGTGCCTATGACCATGTTGCATGTGTGTGCGTAATGTTTTCAACGATTTGCAATTGTGTGGCGTGGCTCGAGCCCATTCAAACCTAGATACAATTCATAAATGATCGTATGAAAGTGGTAAGTCTGTGTACTTTTGTTTCATGTTCTCGCGTAAATTTGATTGTAAAATTGTTGAGTTTGGCGTACAACAAAAACAATAATAAAAGTAAAAATTTGTGCCGTGGATTTTGTTAAATACTAAAACAAAAGGGGTTAGTCTTAAAATCGAATTTGAATCGAATTAGAAGAGATAGAAAGAGTTCAACTGGTGTGCAAACAAACTGGAATACAGACCGATACACACCTACTTCTCCATGAAAGTGTATCTCGACCAAAGAACAAAAAACAACAACACTTTTGAATGTTAAAAACTTTTGTTTCTTCTTTTCTTACAAATACGTGAAGACGCACCATATTTACGTGCAGCAAGTGACATTTTAGCGAAGAAATTAAGAAAAACCTCTGAATTTATGTTTGTTTGTTTTTTCTTGTGTGTTTACAGAGTGCATGTAACTGCTGGCAGCTAAAAGTGTGAGAAAGAGATAAAAAGTGAAACGAATTTTTCTTCTTAAACACATCCAACACAGATAAAAACATGGGTAAGTGTGCATTAATGTCGGTTTAATTGGGACATTGTTGACTTTCCCATCTCTTTAAATGTAACAAAATTGTGTCTCATTTAGTGAGATTGCCACTAGGATTGCCATAACAATAATAATTTTTCGTGCGATACACAATTTCCACGGTGAAAAATGAAAGTTGGTGATGCTCATTACAGCTCTTTTTTCCTCTACTTTCCGTTGCAAAAATATCTTTGTTATTCCGTTGCTTCGTTTCGGCTCATAGAGCGTTTCGGTGTTTTTTTCTATAGATGAAAAGATTTCGCACTAATTGAGTTGTCTTGTGAATTATTGTCTTTAATTGCTTGCAACTGAAGCCTTGCTATTCTGGCTGATGATGATTGGCATCGTTGTCAATAACCCAATTACAGTTCGATTAATTGATACATTTATATGCTATTTGCCACAATTGAATCAAAGTTCAAATCACATTCATTTGCATTTATTAGCGCAGAATAATTTGCACCATATGGAATTTGCATTAGATACTATAGAAGCGCCAAGTAACAGATGTGCATGCAACCCAATTCAGCAAAAAAAAAGCCACTTTTTTCAAGTAATGTTTTGATGACAGGCAAAATGTGTTTATTACATAAAAATTGCTGACGAAAACCTGTAAGTAAACGGTATAATTTAATGTTTGGCTTTTTGACGGCTCGTCGTTTAGTTTGGCGATTTTATAGTTCAGCTTTGTGTGTGTAACATATTTACAGTAACATTCATCATATGAAATTCCGTGAAGAAAAGAAATTCGTGATCATTTTCGGTATTTGATCGGCGACAAACATTTGTTCATGGTTAAGTATCGGCTTCGGAAATGGATCAAATTTTAAGAATTCGTTTTTTTCGTCGAAATTACGGAGAAAAACCGATTTGCAACAAAAGCCGAAAAATCGAATTTCATATAAAATTTTGATTTTTGGTGACAAAGTCAGTTCCATTTCGACAATAAAACAATTTAAACAGATTTCAAGCAAAATAACACGAAGCAAATCCATTTTTCTCAAGATTTTTTTCAGAAAAATCCGTAATCGGATTTCCACAAATTTTAACCAAAAACTTGATCAATGGAATTGTCCAATGTTTTCTTTTGCACAGAGTTATAAGAAACACAGACGTGTTCATATGTGTGTTGTATCTGTTACCATTCCGAAGATTGTGTATGTGTAAGCAAATGTTCCAAGCTCGATTGTATGGTTGACAGTGGAATTGTTGTTAGAATAAAATTGTCTTCCGAATGTTGTAAGACATGTAATATATAAAGTGTACTCTAGACTAATTGGTGTGTACAAACGGTATTGGAATGCTTTCACATAAATGTGGCCCCAACGGCGATGAAGATATATATGTGTACTTACAACATCGGAACACACGGTGATGATTTTTGTTGTTGTTGTACCGTATCGGATTCAACCGAGAACATAATATATAGAAGCAAATTGTAGTTATAGAATGGTCCAAGTTATTTTCGACAATAATAAAGACCGATTTTTAGATGTGAAACACTTTCTTCTAAATCATTCTTCTTTCTTTCTAACAAGTCGAATGAGAAAAAAGGTAAAACGTCGGACACTCTCCAGAATGACGGATATACACGTACACGTAGTTAACTATTATACACAAGCACACGGCGTAAGCAATGAAATAGAATAGCGAAACGATTGCAGCGATTGAAGTGCAGACGAGCGAGAAAGAATGTCATGTACAGCAATAGTTCAATATCGTTCGGTTTAACGACGTTCAGTGGCGTTCTATTTAATGAGCGTATTGGTCACGTACAGCAAGCGCACAACCAATTTATAATATTCACTGAGCGATTTCGATCATCGACTCAACAAGAACAATACAATTTATGCATCGGTTCATTTCGCATTTTGATTGAGAAAGTTGAGTGCAAGTTTTCGGTTTAAAAATTCAATTTTGTATCAATTTTTCTTTGATTAAAGTATGAATATAGAGCACTGAGTGGGTTTGTCTCGCTTGGTTCAAAACCAGTTCACAATATTTGGCAGAAAGTTGATTTCGAATGAAAAAAAAAATGGTGAAATTATTCCTCATTCTGATATAAATATACACGAAATATAGTTAAATAGATCACAATACAAACATTGATGAAATACCACCAATAGATAAGATACAAAACGATAACACACCGAAACGAGTGCTTCGACGACAAATTGAATAGTATAACGGTTTTAACTGCGTTTGCTACAAGAACCAAAAAAAAGAAAGAACAATTTTTTTTATATTCGAGATTTGATTTTCGTTGTTTCAATCATTTGTTTTCTCTCTTTTATTTCTTCTGCTGTGAACGTGCTTTAAATCAAACGTATATGTTATGGCAATGAACAATCAAAGCTTTGAAGTGAACGGAAACTTACGACGTGCGAGTGCAAATGCAAAATCAGAATAATATCTATCATAAGACGATTTAGCTTAGTCACAGTCTGTGCAAAACAATAAAAATATGTTAGAAGTATAAACAATGGAAATCATGACGCACCATTGATTTTTTTTTATTTTGCTTAAGTAATTGAGAGAGCACAGCGAGTGATTATGCTGAAGTGTGAAATTCTCGGAAACGATTTAATTTGGTTCGGTGTGTGATTTGAACGGAGTTAACGGTTGGAAATATTATTATGAAAGAAAACGCAACGAAATGACTTTACGACGGAACTAAATTTGAAGTGAAAGATGAAGTAAAATCGTAATCACTTGATTGTTTGGAGTTTTTTTCGAATTCAAAAGTAACTGAAAAACTAGAATATTACTTGAAGAAAAGAGACATTTTCTGTTTATCGAACGGTGTTAAGTAAAGAGGATGGATATGCGCGGTAGATCTGGTGCTACCGGTGGCAGTGGCGGCGGTGGTGGTATGCACGATGTACGCGAAGACATTTTATTGGAAACGAATTTCGATGAAGATGGCGTTTTAACGCTTGCTCATGCAACCAATCAACCGTCGATCGGTCATCATCGATCGAAAATTACAAATGGTGAAAATCCATTATTGCAACGAACGCGACGTAGTCTTTATCGATCGGACACATCGATCGATCGTTATAGCGAATATTCGTTGCATGGACGACGTGATCCAGGTTAGAATCTCATCATCATCATCCAGTTTTCGTCTGGCAAACACACAAATTATCACGCAGTTTTTGTTCCAAATGCTTTTGTGTATGTGTGTGTGTGTGTGTTACATTCAATGGATAGTGCACGACTAACAAGACAGATCTTGTTAGGCACAAGAGATTTTTATATTTTTGTCAATATCATTTGAGCAAGAACTGTTTCTTTGGCCTGGTTTCTCTTACTGAAACAAAAAAAAATCTCCATAAGAAAAAACAAAGAATCGTGAACAGATCAGATTGGTTGAACGTGATGTGAAAATTGCTTCGCATGCTGTGCGATTTGATGTAAATCATTGCCATGAAACAGTTTCTCGCCAAAATATCGTTTTTTTTATTTGTCAACTCGTCTATTTTGTGTTTATCCAATTCGCATTCAACACAAACTCATCCATGACTTTCTATTTGTAAATCATTTTCATGAATTCGTATAAATTGTATGATTTTTTTTTCAATGTTAACACAACATCACTTCTATTATTATGTCAATCATTTTGTCAAATTTAAATTTGCTTTTTTATAAAATTCTCTATTTTGATTTTTCACACAAAATGTACGCAATTTTTGAAATATTGTTTTTTTTTTGTCTTCTTTGATTTAGGAAATTGCTGTAGATCATGTATGACACGAATACCATACGCAACAATGATTGCGACGGTGATGTGTTTGATTGGTGTGGCGATATTTTGCACATCAATGTATCGTGGAGCATCGCTGATGATTATCATGTTTGATCGTGTATTTCGCTTTCGAATCTTTTGGATTGAAGCCGTACAAATGATATTCGTTACGATTGGCGCATCAATGGCCGGCCTCGGATTTATGATATTATTTGTTGGATGTTTGGCCACCGGTTCAACGCGATACAAAGTCTATCGAGCATGGCGATCACGTGTTGGCGGCCGTATTTCATGTGCAGTTGTAAGTTTCACAATTGTTTGATTAAATATTCGAGCCAACGAACTTTTTCATTTATATTTTGTGTGATTGTTTACAGTTCATGGCGATTACCTATATATTGACAATCATTTGGACGATAATGTTTTGCTTCTTGTGCATTGTAACATTTGTGTACACGATATTTTGGCAAATGTGCAACGAAAACAGTCATGAAAATCCACGCGAATGCTTAATTGATTTGGTCCAGTTTCGTAAGTACTTAACCTCGATATTATTAGCGAAAACGTTTTTAAATAATTTCATTCTCTTTCTCGTCCATCCAGATTTCCTATTCCCGGCCGGATCCCGTCAACAAGATATGAAAGTATGCGATAAATTCCAAATCAAGGCGTTCTGCAAGGATGGCGTTGAACCGGCCGAAACAATGTTTATAATAGCGACCATTTCGTGTTTGTTAATCATTTTAAGTTTGGTACATTATTTAATGTGCTTGTCCGCTAATTATGCGCATATACGTGATCATGAAAAATTCCAAGAGCTGCAGGAAATTCAAAATCTCAACGATATGGAATACAGTGCGGCGTCAAAAGAACGTTTCTAAGCGTATCGCTGCAATTAATACCAAACACGTACAAAAATATACATACACCGAGATATTTAGTATATGTTCCGGATCAAAGAGATTTTTTTTATTCCAATTTTTTTTTTGTTTTCAATCGAAATCGAAATATGAAAAGAAAAACGAACAAAAGACAATGTTTTCAATATAAGTGAGAGAGACAGAGAGCAAAATTGAAACAAGTATCAAGGATATAAATTCCGTCCAATTTAGGAGTATATTCAAGCATTTTTTCTATTGTAATCCATTTTTGCCACACCATTTATGACGTTAACATTTCTGTTTTAATTTTTAACCTGTAATTTTTATTTTTTTTGGACCGACGACATAATTACCGTTTCAGCATTCTATATATGTTCACTGTAGTAAGAATCATCGACCGTTGTTGCGTTCAAGCAAATGGATCGATTTGATCTCTCGAAGTGAACAATAATTTAGCAAGCATTTTTTGTTTGTGTCCGCTTTTAGATTTAAGTTTCGTTCAATATACCGGTTAAATAGACACAATGATCATGCTTTTCCGTCGTACATTCCATTTTAATTAAGATCATTTTATTGAATCACTTTGCAAAGCAATATCCATTGAGCTTTTATTTACAGACAAAAGCAATTTAGATTAAATCACAAATTAAGGAATAACAAATAAGTAAACCATGGGCCAATCTAAGCATTTTGAGCATTTTAATCCCGTCTAAATTCTATCTATCTTCATTTATTGTATAAAAATAAGAAAATAATTTTTTAAAAATATAAATGAGAAACGATCTCATGCTCAATAAAAAATTTCAACAAATTTTCAAATAGATACGAAAAACGTCTTTGAAACAGAATTACAAGAGCCCAACACCCTTTGCAAATATAGTTCGAAATCGATTTAAATGAAAAAAATATTTCTTTTTATCAACAAATTTCGAATTACTTCTTCAATTTTCATATCCACACAGCTATGAAATCCCTACTTAAGAGCTAGATGGTGTCGACACGAGTGGACGGATTTTTAAATTCATTTGAACGACGACATGTTACTATACTTGTCCATTATAACGAACATGTAACGAACATGATTACAAAGTATTTTTTAAAATACCATCACCAATGTCGACATTATCTGACATTAAAAATACATGTCAATAATATGTTGTTGTCGTTTCATAGCTGCGCAATGCGCATTTACACACAGAGAAATTTTACAAAGAAAACTAGATGGCATGTCGTATAAAATTTGGAACTAGATGACAATACATATAAAATTGTATTTATCCATATAATCTTTATGTAAAATATCGTTTTTTTGTATTCTCTTTTGTGCGGATCTTTTTCAAAAGACAAATGAGTGTCAACTAGTTCCGATTTTTATACGACAAGCCATCTAGTTTTGATTGCAATATTTCTCTGTGTGTACCCCGCAATAAATACACAAATTTTATGGAATTTGATATACTTAACATCTAGTTTCATTACTGCCAATTTTAGAATCAAAAGTTATTTGATCATATAAGAAATACCTAAAAAATGTACCCCGAGATGGTAAGATTTATGGAAATGCACAAAATTTGTTAGAACAAAAAAGAATTGGCCGTAAACAAGGGAAAAAATGGAAAATACATTGTTTTCTGATAATTAAAAACGCCCCGTATAACGGTGTCCAACCGTCCATACATGTCAGAACATAAAGTACGTGTAAATTAGGAAATTTATAATTTATTTTAAAAAAAAAATTCTGCCAGTGAATCGACCGATTCAAAATAATTGTCCAAGCTCAACAGGAACGATTTTATTTCGATATTTTTCGAATACAAAATTATATATATAAATATTCATTTCGACTTAGATTATAAGCGATTTATCGTATAAATAAATTTTCTTGTAATTTTACAATTCATTTGAAATAAAACGAAATATTGAAAATTTTGTTTTGATTTATTTTATTATAAACGTTAATAATTTTTTTTTGTGCAAATATTATTAGTGAAAAAAGTTTTTTTTTTATTTGTTGCAATCAACGTCTTTAATTTCAAGTCACAGCCAGGGAGAAATTACTGTATTCAGAGATTGAGAGCTACTCAAATCAAAAAGTAGATCTGTAAGAGAGAATGATAATTTATTTTACATTCTCTAAAATAGGCTTACACCATTTTAAACTTTGTTTCATATCAACGCCGATGCTGGCCATCAACTGGAAATTCAGGTAGCTGAGTGTGCGTCGAATGCAAGTGTAAATCAAAGATTCGGTGTTATAGCAAAAGTTTTACTCATTGATTTTTGTTGAGAGAAAAGAGAACTTTTGTCAAAGATACACGAATAAAAGTCACCAAGAACTTTGAAGTTCTCCTTAAGTCTTTTATATAATTAATAAAGCAAAGGTGTCGCATCCCCATTGAACACTCAACTTTTCTGAATTTTCGGACAACAGTAGCTCTGATGAGTGAAACTCGGTTTTGTTTTCATCAAAAGTTGATACGTTTGGTTATTTTTAGCAACAAAAAAAAACGAAGTACCTTTGGGTCCGCTTCCTTCATACATCTACTATGAAGATATATTCTTTCGCAATCGTCTTCTGCAGTCATATTACCCGGGCAAGCGACAAATAGTTTACCAAGAGCCGTTTTGAGTTCGTCACTCATATTAGAAAGGAGCGGTTCGAATGTTGACATATTCACATCGCCATTCGGAGCAATCGCATTGCTGAAAGAAAACCTCAGAATTAATATTTCTTATTTAAAAAGACGAACATACACTACTTACGATTCCCGGAATATACACGCCATATAACATTTAACTGATTGTTTGGCATCTAGACTATCGCCGACATCATATTCTTTGATAGCCTCTAAAAATGCACATTTGAATTTATTATAAATATCTGTGTTTCAAGAGAAATCGTGACATAAACTGTTCTTACCATCACTGATACCAATTTGAGCTTGGCATTTCTTGCGAATTGGTGCTAAAAACTTCAGAAGCTCTGGTGTAGGCCACTAAATGAAAATTTAAAAACACATGTTTTTTTTTTATTTTTCGTCTCGGAAAATTATCAATAACAATATTTCAAGTGGAAATAATATTTACTTCGTCGTTACGGAGCACTTCACGGGCATTTAGCTGACCCAACTGTAACAGTGTTACAAACACAAATAGCGAAAATGCAATAAATTTCATTTTGAAAATTTTTCTTTCGATTTCACTTCGATCACTGATGTTCGAACTGCTTTGGTTTCCCCTTTATATACAGTTTCCAATTTGAATGCGTATGGTAATTGTGGTGAATTTTTCGCATTTAATTATTAGCAATTAAAACTGTCAATTAGTATCAGAATAAAAAACCTCTCTTTGCGAGGTTGAAAGAGAGTGACGCTGTGTGGATAGATTCGGCATAAAAAGGACTGATATCAATTTGTGTCCATTGGAATAAAAGCGGCAATACAAAAACGGAATCTGAAGAACTTTACATAATTTTTTTTACATAGTATAACTCCATACAAAAAAAATTTATGTAACGTTCTTCAGATTCCGTTTAACACATTTAAATGCCGCCCATAAGAATAAACAAAATTCCGAATAGAACCAAAAGTGTTATAGTTAACAACATTTCAAAAATAAATCGAGAGTCAAGCGCAATAAGGGCACACTATATAAACGCCATCTAATAATAACCGACTAACTACAATGTAAATCAAACGTATCTGTTTCCCCTTTTTATTTACTCCTTTCTCCTCCCTCCCGTCTTCATAAATCCACAAAATAAAACGAAACAGTGCGTCACAGTTGGGGTTTACATTCAATGTTAAGATTTCTAAAATTCGCTGTATATATAGACGTGACGCAAAATTGACATTTTTTGTCAAAGTTTGCTGGGAGCGTCACTTGTCGAAATACCGTTCTCTATGATATTCAACCAAATGATGTGCAATTGGGCAGAATTTTTTATTTCTTTATTGACGTCTGAAATTCAATTTTGAAAACTAATGATCAGTAATTAAATGTTATTATTTTCAAAATTGATTTATTTCTTCGTGTTAATTAATTTTTAATCAGATTTTACGTCGCTCATTAAAATATCTCAATACTGAACACAACCTAGATCTTGATATACAGTCATACGTTTTATGAAAGTCGACGAAACACAAATATAACTGAAACTTTTCTATTGGTTATCTCATGCAAAAATGTTGATCGATAGATTTTCATCCAAAACCTAAGAAGATTTTTAGAAAGTCAATCAGAGATTGTCAATTTCCAAAACAATGGAAAATCGGTGAAACTATCCCCATATTCAAATGTGGTAAAAGATCTGATATTAGGAACTATAGAGGTGTAACAATTGAAGCGAATTTGGCTAAGGTCTTTGAGATTATTATTCATAAAGAAGTGAAATTGTCGATAACGCCATTACTGTCCAAAACCTTACATGGATTTCTTCCAAATCGAAATATCGAAACCAATCTAATGGAGTTATCATTGCTCGCGACCAAAGTGTTTGAAGAAAAAAAGCAATTATACATTTTTTATGCTGACATCCAGAAGGCGTTTGATGTGGTAAATCAATGATTCGCTTCGTTGGTTTATTTCCTATTTCTCAAATCGTAAACAATATGTGAGACTAAACGTCTCGTCATTAAACTTTGCCGATGACAAGAAATTACTCAGAATAATCAGGAAAGAGGACGATGCATTGGATCTTCAAAATTCAATTGATGATTTCATGAGGTGGTGTGATCAGAATGGGCTTCAGGTAAACATTGCAAAGTGTTAATTATTGACATTGACACATATGAGAAATTCCATAGTTCATAATTATTTCATCAATGGGAAAATGGTTGAAAGAGTCACTGAAATGAGAGAATTGGGTGTGTTGATTGATTCTAAGCTCAGTTTCTCTAAACATATTGAATTGATGAAAAATAAATCAGCGTCAATGTTGGCATTTGTTAAGAGAACTTGTAGACGGAAATTTGACATAAAATGTGCCAAACTACTATATAATCACAAAAGCTACAAGATTTCGGTTGAAAGTGTGCAGAAACAAGCAGTTATCTATCTAAATGGTGATTATTTGAACAGAAAAGAGAACAACTATCAACTAGCACCGTATGTTGACC